GAAAACTACAAAATAAGATTTTTGATGTAAAAACTGCATATTTAAATGGATACTTGAATAAACCAATTTATATGAACAACCACCTGGATTTAAATCAGATTCAGACTGTCAAGCATTAATAGATTGGATTAAAAAAACAAAACAAAGTAGTAGTTCAAGGCACATTAATCGAAATCCTTTGAAGTAAGCCAAATCAACTAGCTAAATCATGTTTATTTTTGTAGACCTCAAATCAGGGGCTACAATGATAAGCCTGTTTTGGCATTCATATTTCAAAAATTTGAATGGCAAACTTTTTGTTGATGTGAATTAATGACGTTTAACTTAATAATTAATATCTTATAACATTGTAAATGATATTGCTGGATTTTTCATTGCTTAATACTGCATGCATCTTTTACTATTTGTCTATTATTAAATAAATTTACAGTGTATATTCTAATCAGATGTTCTCCTTCATAAAGAATTTTTTATAGCATGATATGGTGCTCATTGGGGTAGATTGCATAGTTATGATCTCACTTTGTTTTCAGGGAATTTTATAATATATTTTTGGATATGCTACAAGATTTCTCGGATAATGTTCATGCTTTAAAACATCTTTAAAATAAAACTTTTTTTTGTCATATATTTCCCAAAATGTTCACTTGTATGTTTATAATTAAAAAGTACTTTAAGATATTGGATTAAATGTTGAAATGTTTTTATGAGAAAGAAAAAAAAAATGGCTTTTGCTTCAATAGAATTGCATGTAAAATCATAAATGTAAATCAAAATTTTATTTAAATTAATATGTTTATGAATTTTGTTATGAAATATCACATATCTTTTTAATATTTAAGCAGTATAAATCAATCTAATTAATTTAAGCAATACAAATTAATGTAGTAGTATGTGGTGTATAAAGAGTTTAAAATATTTTTAAAAGAAAAAAAAAGAATGTCTAAATTAATTGAATACTAAGCATCTGTAAACTATATCCATTTTGGTATATAGAATGATATAGATGATATATTGTAATATCAGTGAGTCGTAGAAACTTATTCAAGTTCATGAAGTTTATTTTTGTGGACCTCGCATCAGAGTCTGCAATAATAATGTTCCATTATTAATATTTAAAAAATTCAAATGACAACTTATTGCAGATGTTAAATGATAATTTCAACTGGCTAATCAGTATCTTATACTATCGTAATGACTCGCAGGATTTTTCATTGCTTAATATTGTGTATTTTTAATGAGATGTATTAAGAGTGTATTTTTAATAAGATTTTTCTTTCATAAGAATTTTTTTGGAGCATGATATGATGCTCATTGGGATTGATTGCATAGTTATGATCTTGCTTTTTTTAAGAGAACTTGAAATATATTTTTGAATATTCTGTGTAATGTTTTTGCTATAAAACATCTTTAGAATGAATCTTTTTTCAATATGTAGACTAACTAAACTTCAGATATACTTTTAATATATTAATGTATTAATAAGATTTATGTATTTCACTTAATGTCCACATGTGTATTTATTATTAAAAAAGAAAAAGCATCTTAGGATCTCTGATTGAATCTTGAAAAATCTTTAATGGGAATAAGAAAAAGAAAGAGTTCATTTTGCTTCAATATCATTGCACCAAAAACAATTATAAAGCAATATTATATTAGAATTAATGAATTGATATTAATTTTATTATGAAATACTATATGTGTTTGTTTAGTATTCAAGCAGTATAAATCAGTCTTCATAATTTAAGCAATATAAAATCATCTGAGAGCTTTAACATATTTTTTCTTTTTTTATTACAAAATGAAAACATCTCATGTTTAGTTCATTACATATGTTATATTTTCATTGATATTATCATACCGTATAATATTTTATAAATAATTTTTTATAAATAATTTTTGTGTCCATTTTATTTCCGTATAAAAGTTCAGATATGTTTCAGTTTAATTTAAATCAGCTCTGCTAAATTTACAATATCACTCTCAAATCTTATTTTTATTTTCTGTTTAATAAATCGGTATTTAGTATTTAAATATCATTACGATATAACATAGTACGTTATTATTCCTAAAATTCGAAATATTAGTTGTAAAAATTAATTTGACTTGACTTTTGTGTTGGAAATAAAACGCTGCGCACTACATAAATGAAACAGTCGGCTGCGTCTACCGTGGGAACGATCGCCTTCGATTGTGACGTCACAAATCGGTGGAGCAGGCCTGTAGATATCTAGTTGGCCTTGATACAATGCGTTACCATTTCCTAAGAGGTGTTGCTAAGGAGACGAGTCTCCTCGAAGCTATCACTAAACTCTCTTACTGACCCTCCCCCGCTTAAGCGAATTCGCTGTTCTTTCAGCTTCGCTTAGGGTCACTCTCTTTGTCTCGTAATCGGGAAATTTTCTTTCAACCGTAAGCTGTTGTAACTTTAGAGTAAGCACCTCTTTGTTGCTAAAAGGGTTCTTCTGCACAGATATTTTATTTAAACTCAATCTCTTTAAGAGAATTTCTGTAATTTATTACTGTTATATCATGTCACTTAAAGCTATTAATTTATTTATCTTATGTTTCTCCTCATGGAGAGTTCTGGCCCTGTCTCTTTAAATCTAACTCGCCTAACTAGTTTCCCGCTCCCTTTCCTCCCCAGACCCGAATGACTTGCGACGTGAATGACCTTTCGCGAGTGGTTCCTTTCTCCTGTTGTTAACACCACAAGATCATTGATCAAGGAAATATCGAATCTTTCAAAATTCATTATGTAACCCTTCAAAATTGATTTTGCTCCTTTATTTGATCTGAAAATCACTAAATTATTAAGTCCTTCAGTATTTTTACCTTTTTACCCTGTGGAAGGCAGTTTACCTTTTGTTATTTTGAGAATTCGACACTAAATTTTACCTCTTTGCCGAACTTTTTTTTTAATAAATGTCTTTATGATAATAGTCTTTGATGATATCGGGATAAAGGCATTAAGCCTAGGTGTCTCGAGAGTAAAAAGATGTTTCTACATCTTGACACTCGCGATCTGTGTGTAATTGAACCTTTCTTTGATCCTTGATCCCTAATGATTTTTTCTTCACTGTGGAAGGCAGTTTACTTTTTGTTATTTTGACAGTTCGGTGCTAAATTTTACCTTTTTGCCGACCCTTCTTTTGATGATAATTATTTAATCTTTGATGATGTGGGGATAAAGGCATTAAAATTGAACCGTTCCTTGATCCTGATGGTTTCGCCCTGCGAGCAGAAAGACTTAGCGGATGCAAAACAAAACGTCTGTCTACTTTGTCTGTCTTTTTTATATGTTTTTGCAATTCGGTGTGTGTTTTGATAGCTGAGGGTGTTATCGGTGTGGTTGAACGTAAATGAGTGCAAGGGAGTCAGAATTTTTGTATTTTGCATAATTTACTGGATTTATGAAGTGCATTTTCTCATTTAGAATATAATAATGAAATTTGCTGAACATTTAGCCGCTCATATTACTCCAGAGTGGCGGAAACAATACATCCAGTATGAGGTATAATGTTATTACTCCCTGAAGAGCTTTTATGAATATTGTCTGGCGTGTGTTACTTACTTATATGTCATGTTGTGTCCTGTTAGTATAGTTCCAAAGTGCATACAATTTATGCTTTTAAAGAATTTATTGTAGCGTCAAACCAAAAGAAGTGAAATACATTTTTCTTGCTTTAGTAGTATGCCGTAGTAATAATATTGCTTTCTTTCATTTTTTTAAAATATAGCAACATCCGTTCTTTATAATTAAATTCCTTTTGATGTGACAGAATCTTGCTATGTAATGCATTTTGTATCTTTACTATTAGAACGCAAAAACTTGCTACGTTTTTAATACAGTTCTGTTTCGTACCATGCTGTTGAAATTCCTGAAAGTACATATAGATTTCAGTTGACAACTGATAATCACTATTTTAAAGTTTCTTCGGGAACTCATATTTACTAATCAGAGAGTAACAAAAATGCATCTTTATGAGTATATTGAACGAGTTCAAAATTAAAGTTTGTCTGTTATTTCGAATTTTTTTTTAACTGATTAGTTATAAAAAGCTTGTATTTGCTGAAATGATTTTTCGTGCATATCAAGGTGCTGTATCATTAAATTTGTGATTGTGTGCAAATAGATTACTCGTGTTTTTACTGACAACTGACATTATCTTGCTGCATAAAATTTAAGGATGTTCTTGATAAATAACATAATAGCTATAATTATAAGCAAAATTTTAAACTTGGCATTTTCCTTTTGTATGCTTCATTACATTTTGGGCTTATTCATCCTGCACATTTCTTGAAAACTTGAATGTTTTTGCTAACTTTTTGATCTTTTCATTTTAATTTTATTATCATATTATGTCTTAAGAGTTATATGATATGCAAACAAATATATATTTCATATTATCCTTAACCATGCATTTCTGAAGTGTTTAACTTGTGAAAAAAAGGTTTTGTATATCTGATAGCATTTAAGCTTATTTTATATGTTGACATCCTATAACAAAAATAATCAAATGATGTTTTTATGATACCATGAGGGAAAACTAACTAATTATGTCTTCTTTAATGCAAATAAAGGGGTTAAAAGTTAACTATAATACGTTTCTTAAAGGTTAGATTATGTATATAAGTAGTGTATAGTTTCCTGAAAGTCATTTTAAAAGAAATCAGTATGTTAAAAACATTTTATGTCATGCATACAGAATTCCTGTATTATGACTAAAAATCATGGGTTTAATAATTTGTTTAAAAATGCTTGTTGCGGATTCCTAAAATCCTAAGGGCAAAATTATAATGTTGAATGAAAAAATATCTTAAGGTATTCTATTTCTGTTTATATTTTGAAAAATGTTTTTTTAGGAAATGAAGGCTATGTTGTACTCTGGTGTAGAGCGTGCACCGTCACCTGAAGGTATATTTTAATGTAATTTATTGATGAATAATTAGCATATAAATTTAATTTTTTTGATATGGTCTAATTTTGTATTTTTCAGTGGTGGATCATAGTGATATTGCTCGATATTATGCAAATTTTGATGAAGATTTTTTCCATCATTGTGAAAAAGAACTTAGAAAAATCAACACCTTTTTCTCAGGTAATTATATGTAGTGGATTTTTTATTCTTATAAATTAAAAAAAAATTGAAAAATGATGTGTTTTGACAACAGATTGATTGATCATCCATTTAGGCTAATCTTGGTACCTCTTGGTTTTTGTCTGAAAAAATATTCAAATGGTATTGGTTGTTCGTGAAATCTGGAAGCCTGCTGTTTGAAATAAGTTTTTTGGTAACCCTAATGTTGGCGAAACTACCCTTGGGGAAATTTTTTTTTCCAGTTTTTCTCATTAAAAAGGTGTTATTTCTGTGAATATCGCCAAATGTGTTGTGATAAATTTAGATTTTGGTTATTTTTTTGCAATAGTAACCATTTCGTATGGACACATGCTTATGGTTTTTACCATTCTTTTCAACTGTTGTGTTTGGTTGCAGGTGCATGGTATGGCCTTATATTTTGAACTTGCTATTGTTTTGCTGTGGGTACCGTCATTTGAGTATGTCTGAGGTGACTAAGAGAATGAATGTTGATGAGTTAGATTATGATTAAATTGTGAATTTGAGGTTTGTGTATGGGTTGGATGATGGATGAAAGACATTTGATTTTTGCATGATAGCTGGTATAATTGTTGATAGATATGAATGAGCCGATATGACGAAAAATTTAATTGAATTGCTCATGTGAAAGAGATGGTGGTTGGAAGCCTAAATGTATGCACGTGAGAAAAAGGTATGTTCAAAAATTGACGTTTCATTTATTTATTCATCTCTGTGTGTTAATTTTTGTTATATGTTCATCTCTGTGTGTTAAAACAGTGGTGAATTTTTCTGGTTACCATGATAGTTTTAACTTTGTTTTAGCTTCCTGATTTTGTTTAAGTGAAAATAGATCGATGTGTACATGGACAAGTTAAGGAAGTGCACAGAGCTTAGTTTGTGCAATTCTCTGAATTTTTCAAAGTTAAAATAGGTCGATGTGTACATGGACACCGAGTTTGTATAAGTCTTTGATTTCTTATTTTGCTTTTTTGTAGTGGCCATCTTGAAATTGGTGCCGATCTTAGCATAATAAAAGAAAGGATTCGCCAAGGGGTACCATAGAGTAAATTTTTACCGAATTTATTGTGTGAAAAATGTTGTTTATTGTTTGAAAAAGGTGTTATCAATAATATTTCTTCCAGAAAAAATTGCTGAGGCTACACGTAAATCAGGTAATTTGAAAAGTGAACTCCATAATGCAGTGTCAAGCAATGAAAGAGTTAGAGGTGGAAGTGGTAAAAAGTAAGTAAATTTTTTTAGTAAGTTTTTACTTTGTTTTAAAACTGCCAAGTTTAATTTATTCATCATTTTGAGGGATTGATTCAGTTCTAGTACTTTACATCAGAATAATTTATTGTGCTATGAAAGGAATTGAAGTGTATTTTAGAATTAATAAACTTCTGTAATCAAAGCATTTAAATTATTCTGCTGTAACAGTTATACAAGTAATTACTATTCTATGAAAATGAGTACATATTTATCAGTTTGAAAAATTTCTTTAAATTCTTTTTCAGCAAAAGCGAAATAAATTGAAACGTTTATTTTGTTATTATTAGCAAAAGCAAATAATTTGCAATTACTTTAACAATATATCTGTTTTGAGAGTTATTGAAATAGCTTCCTTTTTTTTTTATATGTCTTTGTTTTATTTTCAATACTGAAAAAAAGAAAAGAGGAAATTTTTTAATTAGATAGCAAACTTCGTGTGATGTAAAAGAAGGATTATGCCATTTGTTTATGTAGACAGCATACGAATGAGAACTGTTATGAACCAAATATCTCAAGAATGTGCATAAGAGAATAGGTACTACACTGTAAAAAACTTAATTTTTTTTTTTTTAATATTAAAGTAAAGCAAGTTAACTTGCTGTATAAGTCAAGATTTTAGTGAAAGAGTTGAAATTTAGTAATGGAAAAATTGTTAAATTTCATGCCTTCTATCAAAACATTTTACTTTCTAATCACAAAGTGATTAATATAAGTATAAAGAAAATGTATCCTAAAACTTAATACTCATTTATCTGTTTCTTCAATGTATATTTTAATACAATAAATACCATTCCACTGTTAAAGGTGAATATTATTGTTGAATAAGTGAAAAATTATGAACTACTAGCATCATATTGAATTGAGCATTGGACTGAAGTTGTGGAAAAAAAAAATTGTTAAAAAGTCAGGAAATTTCTTCTGTTAACTATAGATATGGTTAAATAGAAAAGGAACATGCCAATGGGAAATTTAAAATGAGGTGTGAAAGCAACTTTTATTTGGTATAGATTTTGAAAAAAAGCTTGATTTCAATGGCAGCAAGCCATATATGCCTCTGTCTTATTTGCCTTAAAATTAAGCAAAATATGTCTTAAATTCTGATTATTTTAATGTAGTAGAACTCCAATGATGAGAAAGATCAACATTTTGATGACACTGTATAACTCTGAGATATTCTTTTTCATTTGATATCTATTTAGTACACAGTTAATAAGTGCAAAATTATGCTAGTCTTAAATTGGGTCAATCATTTTGAATTAACCTGTAATAAATATCAGCATAAATTGTGTCATAGCCCACTGGAACCAGGTTTTGGAGATGGATTGAAATTCTAAATGTGCTGGAGTTCTAAGAAAGATGAGCTCAGGCACTTTTTTTTTTTTTTTTTTTTTTTTTGTGAAATTGAATCACATTTACAGCAAAAAATACTTTTGATCTCATAACAATTTATTTTAACAGGAAGTAAAATTTGCAAATCTATATTGTTGTAAATACAGTCGAATACCAAAAATCCGCGTTGCCTCTCAAAATATAAACATTTAGTGATATTAATTTTATGACTTATTTCAAGTGTTGAGGAGGAGTTGATGAATATCCATGTTCTTGAGTAATTTCCAGCTGCGTTGATACAGATGTGTTTATGAAGGCATTCTACTATGTTTGCAGTACTTTTCTGCATTCATGAAAATAAGTCCACATTGGACCTTGTGAGGAAATTGCCTGAATGAAACTTCGGAGCAAGGAGTTGTGTAGACAGGAGGACAAAACAAAAATGAAAAATCAGTTTATTCCCATAAGCTGGCATGGGGGATGAGGAGAAATGCAGAGAAGGCTGCCGACCAGGATTGAAGCAAGCATGTCTCGGACCTGGGAGAGGTGCAGTCTAGTAATTGAAGCAGCTATCGTGAAAACTTATACACAGTACAGAAAGAATACAGAATTAAAAATACAATGTTTGCAGGGTGCAATGGGAAGAATACAATAAGTGCAGATATACAATAAGGGAAGTTCCACAATCCTAAAAAGTAGTTGTGTGTTTTCAGCAAAATAGAAGGATTCAGGGACAAAATATCAAGCATGACAAGCGTAGTGGCGGCGATGCATGAATAAAAATAAATATCTTGAGTATCTTGAGTAAAGTGTAAAAAAAATACAGTAGAGGGCTTGTAACAATTAAAAAGTCCAACAAATCTAAAGTAGTCTATAGTAGAAATTTGTAAAATAAATTGACACTTTTTTCATGGCCGCGATTTGAACTTGCAATCTGAGGGCCTTCCGTTTGGGGCATTACCATGTGGCTAGCATGCTTTGCATGAAAGCTGGGGAGAAAATGAAGATAATAGGTTATTCACAGAAGAGAGGATCTTCTGTGAATAGAACTTGGACTTTTAAGTGTTGTGCTGCAGCATATTTAGAAATGGGCAGTAAATGGTCGGGTGGAGAATTCGTCATTAGTTTGTGATTTAACAAGTCTGCTGTATGATTATTTATGGCCTTGTTGTAAAAGTTCCCATTGAGTTTTTTAAGATCTCTGACATAGTCTATTTTGAGGTTTTTGTTTCACTAAGTACGGTACTCTAGTGATGATCCAAAGGAATTTGTTTTAGATGACCTGTCATTTGTTTATGTCATTTTCAGTTGCATTAGTCAAAACGGAAAAGGCGTAAGAGAAGATGGGACAAATGATTGCAGTTTAGATATGTAGTTTGCACCGTAGACTGAGGCCGGAGAAATCCGAGAGCAGAAAATAAAATAGTGTTTTCAAATATACCATAAATTTTTCCTTTGATAGCGTTAATGTTTGTAGACCATGTGAAAGTGTTATTAAAGATGATGCCGAGATATTTTGCATTGTTCACTATAGGCACGTTTTATATCGTCGCATTAGCAGAATTTTGGACTTTCAGAGTTGATATTTATTCTCTATTGGCAACACCAGTTTTCAGCCTGCAGATGTTTTTTCTTGTAGCTTGAGAAGGGCATTATTTGGACTATGAGATTTTTGAATGAGTGTCGTGTGATCTGTGTAGCATGCAAGCATAAAGTTGGAATTGGCCTTGAAGATGGGAAAATTGTGAACATAAGATGAGCTGTAAAATTGGTGCAAGAATTGACCCTTTTGGGATGCCACTTTGGATGGTATGAAGATCTGAGACAGTTCTGTGCTCCAAAAATGACTTCAGGATGAGAAGAGTTCATCAGGAAGAGGAAGATGGATAAGCTTGTATATAGAAGTCCCTCATGCCAGATGCATCAAAAGCTTTGGCCACGTCTAATATAAAGATTGTGATGCTGAGTTTATTTCTAAGGTCCAAAATCCTGATGAGTGGTAGAGAGTCCTTTGCAGAAGCTGTATTGGTCATTAGGAAGAAACATAAGGTGTGGCTATAGTTGAGTGTAGATAATTCTTTCCAAATGAGGAGAGGAGACTAATGGGTCTGTAACTAGAAGGTTTATCCTGAGGTTTCCTTGGCTTGGGAATAACGAAGATGTCAGTTGCTTCTAAAGTTTTGGAAATAAGACCTTGTGAGGCAAGCGTAATAGATGCATCGGAGTTTGCAGATGACACTGTGAAGCAGTGTTTTCAGGAGTTTGTTAGAAATTTGATCATTCTCTGGAACTTTTTTAGATTTGGAATGCTTGATGATATAAGTAATTTCCTTGGGAGAGGTGAGATAGATGATATGAGGAGAAGAACTATTGATGTGTTCAGAAACGGCGTTGATGGCAGCAGGTTCAGTAAGGAAGTCGTTGGGGATGAACTGTCTGATTATGGGAGCAGCAAAAGTGTTTGCTTTTTCCCTATTGGTGTAGGCAAAACTGTCTGGCTTTTGGTTTGGTGGAGCATTGAGGAAGGCTTTTTAAATTTTTTCTTGGGAAGTTCCTGAAGGAACCGTTTAAGTTTAGATTCTCCATATTGTTATTCCAGATTTTAGTGCAATGAGCTTGAATGAGATTATGAATTTTTCTTGTGAGCCTGTTAATTTCAATCTTGAGTGCTGGGTTCCAAATCTGATTAAATTGCTTCCTGAGTCTATTCCTTTGGGTGATAAAGTCTCTGATGTAGTGGAGTAGCCTAAAGTAGTTGATTGTAGTTTTGAGGTAAGAGTCCAGATTGCATTGTCGATGTCTTCGGGAGAGTGAAAAGAGCTGAGATAGAAGGATGAAATAGCAGCAATACTATAAAAAAATTTCCAGTCAGTAATTTTTCTTGAGCAGGAGAGAGTGGGCTAATTTATACCAAGTCTTGCCGGGACTAGAATATGGTCTGAACAGTTTCTAGTGAGATGGGAAGATTAAAGTTAGTCAGAAAAAGGTCCAATATATCCGGGCATCTATTAATCATGTTTGGGCATTAGGTTGGCTCCTCTGGGACAAAAATAAAAATGGGTTGATTGTCAACATAGCTGTGGATGGTTCTGCCAGTACTATTTGTGAAATTACATCCCCAGTCAGTGTGCTTGGCATTAAAGTCACTGCTGATGATCGTGGGAGCAGGATTGTTGAGATATATTTGCAGGTCTGCTTCAGTAATCTGATTGTCCAGTGGACTGTAGAAAGCACAAAATCTGACATTTCCTAGTTTGGAATTGTGATATTTGCATATGCTACTTCAAATAACTTAGAGTTGTCTGTGGTAATGAGTCCTGAGCTCGGGGAACATTTTGCACTGGATGATAACACCTCCGCCTCAGTGTCTGAGTTTGTCACAGCATTAAGATGAGTAATTTGCAATTTTTGGAGCATGTCTGAGAATAGTGTGTGTTTCTGTGATTAGACAGATGTCAATATCCTGCTGGTAGAGAAGCTGATGAAGTTCATGTAGTTTGGTGGTGAGGTTTTGTGCATTCCAGAGCACGACAGAAATGGACGCAAATGAGCTATTTGAATTATTCATGGTTGGGTTGAGAGGACATGACTGATTTGGCAGCAGCACTAGTGAGTCAAGTGTTGGTATCTTTAAGCATGGAGATAGTGGCAGTATGTTGCATGATGACTAGTTTGTCTTCTTCAAGCTTGGTGGGGAGTTCAGCAATTTTTGAGGGTTTATATCCTAGGGAAGGCTGAGCACTATTTGTAATAACTGTTTCAGAGTATAGCTTATTCCCGGTTGAGTTTTGCCTTATTTTTGGGAAATAAACACAACCATGGTATGGTGCCGTGTGGTTTTGGCCACAGGTCACACAGAGCCCACTTTAGGGTTGCTTTCAGAACTACAAACGAGTCTGGGGAAAGTTCACGGACACACTGGCATTATGTGTCGCGTGTAAAACCATGTTGTCCTTCTCTCAATCAAACCAAAGTTTGAAGGTAGCTGGCTGTGAAGAGGGTTTAGTCCAGGAGGGAGATTTGTGCTCCTGGCTGCATTTAACACAACTGGACGGCAGATGACAGCTTGCCTGAGCGTGATGAAACTTTTGACAAAACATCAAGTAGTCCCTCTACGGCCCCTGTAAGTTTTGACGCTGATGCAAGAGATATTCCAGGTTTTGAATAGTTCTTGATTTATCTTTACAAGGTAGCATGACGAAGAAAAATGGCATCTTTTGGATGTCAGGGCCGCGCTGGTGAGTGAATTGGACTACTCTATTAACTGTGTAGCTGAGAATGAGTGCTTTGCCTGTCTCTGTAGGATCAATCTAAGAAGGTATACTCCAGATGACTGCTTTAAGCAGCTCATTGTCAGGAAGCATGTGGGTAAAGTATTTTGCATTTTTTGAGTTGAGCAAGGCTGTGATTTGGAGATGGACGTCTCCCCTGAAAGCTTTTAGTTCAAGTTTTTCTTTCAAAGTCTTTAATATTTTTCTCAAGTAAATCATTTAGTGCTTTCCTTGTTAAATCAGTATGACAGTCTGAATAATTTGGGTCTTTCGTTGTACATTGCAAAATCTCGAGTTGGGTGGGGAGGTGTATGATACAGTAGAAATTTCCGAAGGGTCTGGATTCTGCATTGGTTATTCGGTGGTGGTTCCTTGAAGTCTCATTGATTCTTTCGGATCCTTTGAAAGCAAGGCCTCATGTGGGAATTCTTCCTGGATTTTGCATGTTTCTGCCTGAGAGGATGAGAATGGTTTCTGCGGATTAGGCATGTGCCGCTTAGATGGCTTGGCAGGTTTGGAGATTGTTTTCCTGGAAGGTTTAGGGGTAAAGGGGTGAACTCCTGGTCAGATTCATCTTTGAGGATGACAAATTTATTATAAGTCTCAGACTCAAGAGTCTGCACTCATTTACCACGCATAGAAACAGCAGGGGATGGCATGTCAGCAGTAGATGATTGTCCATTGGCGATATCAGCATCAGTAGAGATTCCAGAGAAGGCTGACTGTAGTAGCAACTTCAGTAGCTTCAAATCATGTAGCTCTTTAACAGCTGAGTCGAAGAGCTCTGCTTCACAACTAGTCCTTTCAAGCTCATTGATGTCATGATTTATAAAATGAAACATGGCTTTCATGATATTTGTCATTATGAAAGAGAGCAGGGAATAATAACTAAGATTAAAACTCGGTAAGAATGCACAAGCAAGAAACTCAGACATCCTACTTTGACCCTATTTCTAGCTATTGTGCTCTTTGTAGTATTTATTATATGTCTATTTTCCTAATAAATTATTCATGCCTTCCTACTTGTCTGGACACATTGTTTAAAGAAGCATCAATGATCCCATAGCTTGCAACAATACCAATTCCAGAAATACTAATACAGTACAGAGTCTTTAATCTGGACTCGTCGGGACTTCGGTGATTCCGGATTAGGGATTTTTTTGGATTATAGATCATCACTTTAAATCTGGTAAGATGGCATGCAGAAATTATAAAATTAAAATATGAAACCGTAATTTATGAAATAAAGAGCAATTATGATCTAAAGAGTATCAAAATTTACAAAAGGAAAAGCTTAATATTTATTTGTTTACTTTATTAAACATTTCTTTCAATGCAAGTAGTTTAAGTTGCTTCGTTTTTTGTGCGTTCAGTTACAAAGTTCCACTGTTCAAGTCCTGTAATTGCTGTGCCGAGAATACCGACTAACTTGTCAATCGAAATTTTTTCGTTTTCACTAACCTCTCTGTCGCTTTCTTCATGCCTTTATCCATTTTTTGCAGCAATTCCACTTTTTGTTTGATTGACATCGAAACATGCTTTCGCTTTGTAGATCCTTTGGCAGCTCCAGAATTGGAAACTCATTTTGACATAATCGAAAGATCAAGCTTAATTTTTATAAAATTTCTCTAACAGTCTGCAAAAAATAATAAGCCGGATCCAATTGGAAGATTAACGAACAATGCAATCTGCAACATTAATTGAAATAGATAATTTTAGCCTAGGTTATACTGTTCGTTATACATTAAATGGGCATGCATAAATGTGTTATGCGCATGCGTAAATGCATTATGCGTTTACGCATGGGCAGAAAGTTTGTAACTTTGAGGTCTGGATTATAGGTCATTCCGGATTATGGACGTCCATGTAAGGAAAGGAAAGTTTCCTCCTATATGCCAAAACCTTCACTTCCAGGAAGAGCTTGTTTGGGAACGTATAAATTTCTTCCAGTCCTCTTAGTCATGCTTTCTTGTCTGTTGATTAAGTATCCGTGGCTCACTTATCTGTGATTTTCAACAGAATAGTGAAGGGAAATCATTGTTTATGTATTTATGTGCATGCTAAGTGACAACTAGCCTAATATTTTAAAATACTAAGGTAAATAGCTCCATTAAATAAAGCACCAGTAATTTTCTGTAAGAAAGAGCACCTGTAGGCTTTTCAGACAAATGGTAACCAAATAGGGGGGAGGGATGAAAGTGGTCACTTATACAGAACCATACATTTGATATAGGCTTACAGATCAACACTTGAATTTGTAGACATTTCTCCCACATCCTGGTTCACAGTTATAATTATATTGGCAGGGGACTGTAGTCAGAGAGTGTCTTCTATTTGTTTTTGTGAGTACTTTTCTTCTATATTTTCATGTTGATTCTAGTTTTCTCTTTACTCTCATGAGTGATGCTTTAACTATTTTATGTTCTTTCATATGTGTGCTGGAAAAAGAATGTTTTGTGTTTGTACAGGTTCTTTAAATAGAACATTATACTGTAATATTCAGGGCTTAAATTCAGAAGCCCATTAGAGCCTGGTTTTGGTACTTAGGGAAATTATAATTTCAGCCAAAATCTCAAATAAGATTGAGGTCTGATTTTATTTAATTATTTGCCATTAATTAATTAAATTTTTATTAGTCTTTACAATTTTTTTTTTTCTAATTCTTAACTTTTCATTATGAGTATTTCTATTCATTTTCCTGAATACCTTCCATAGACCTCCAGCACGTCTAGTTTTATAAATTAAGCCCTGAGAGATGTCTTATTTTTTTTTTTTTTTTAATTAAGAGAATTAACTGCTATAAAATTAGCTGTATGTGCTATACCTATTGAATCTGTATCTATTCCATCAAAAAAGAAATATTTTATTTCTATTTTATATATTATTTTAAAATTTGAATTGTATTTGTAATTAAAAATTGTTTTTAAAAATTAGGTTTGCTGTACAGAAGGCTTTTAAATAGACAAGTGAAAAGGAATGTGCAATACCGTAAAATTCATGAATTAAGGCTAGCTTTTAGTGAATTTTATCTTAGTTTAATTTTTGCTGCAGAATTATCAAAACTTGAATTTTACTGGATTTCGAAAAATTTTGAAAAAGCATGACAAGGTAACTGAATATTATTTTTATTATATTATGTAAAATTTAATATTAACATTATTTAAATAACAGTTTTATAAATGAATAAATATACTATATCTTAGCTGTGTATATTGATGTAGTTGAATATTTCTTCATGAAGTTTCTTTATAATCTTTCTAATATTTTCAAGTGATGTGATATTTGAAATATTTAATGAAATAACCTTCCAGTATGAAATGTAATGGTTACTTTTATTTTTTCTGTCATTTTGCCAGCAGTGGTTGTATAAATGTTGCATCATTGTTTTAGAGGTTTTAATATTTTAGACTGATTCCAAAAATATTATTTTTATCTTTAACCTCTTAATGCACTCAAGTTAACTCAGGTACACCAAACTAAATTATTTCCATGTACCCGAGTAAACACATTCAAGGATTTTTTTTTCCAGATATGAATCCAACAAAATACAATTTTTGATACAGTTTTAGATATGAATATAGCAAAATTAAATTTTACTACAAATACTATGTTGCAGTTTTGAGTGATAATAAAGAAGGAGGTTGAGTTAAAGAATAAAAAAATTGGGGGAAATAAGAATATTTCTGAATTTTTATTGGTACATTAAAACTTTTAAAATGGGCTAGTTTTGAAGTTGATATATTTCTTGAAAATACTGCATTTGTTATCAATTGCTCAGACAGTTTTAGAAGTTATCTTCCATTTAGTGTTATGAAATATTTTTCTGTGTGTTGATTTATTGAATAAATTATCTTTGTTTTGCTACATTTGTTGCATTTTTACTTCAATTTGTGTCTGCAAAATGAGGTTAAAGGCTAATTTTTGTATATTTTCTGATTATCCACAGCCCCTGAAAAAGCTGCTAAAATTTATTGATGAGGTGTTCACCATGTCATCAAAAATATTTTTATGACTGTCTGTGATGTCGCCAAAAAACTATTTATCGTAATTTCCGGAAGAAACGCCACGGCTTTTACATGTTTAAAACTTAAATTTTCAGCAGGTGCGGCGTTTCTACCCATGCGGCGTTTAGGTGCACTAAAAATAAAATATTTCCTATGATGGTTATTGTACATAGTTTGAATAACTTTGTCATTATACATAGTTTGGATGACCTTGTCGTTATACGTAGACCACTCAGTTGTTCCAACACAAAAGACCACTCAGTTGCTTTTTGCGAACGTTATTTTGTTTACATTCTTTCCGTTGAACGGATCTGCATGCCTTATTTACCCTAAATGGAATCTCAGAACAATAACATTTTCCCCCCTTTCAAATCAGCATGCTCATCATTTTGAATAGTCTCTCTTCTCTGCCATTCGATGAATCTTCCATGACCCATCCTCTCCCCACCCCTGCCTTTTCTGCAACTTTTTATGAAAGGCGGACACGACTCCACCTGCCTCGCAATAATGAACTCTGACGTGTTTCCTCTTCAGCATGAATCAATTTTTCTTGGCATTCTGCCAGATACAGATCCCATCAGTGTGGGTACATGTATATGTTGGATAGTTTTTAAGTAAGAAGGGAGCGGAAAACTTTTGAAAATGGCACCTAAACGGCACAGAAGCTATAATGCTGATTTTAAGCTTAATGTAATTTCACTTGCTGAATAAACTGGAAATAGAGCAGAAGCTTGAGAGTTTGAAGCGGATGAGTTCAACGTTGTATTCGATGTTGTAGAACTGAAAAAGAACTTAAAATATGCCACAACAGAAACGAGCCAAAAGAAGTGGTAGTGTAAGGTGGCCGAATCTAGAGGACGAACCTTGCAAACTGGATAAAGGAGGCAACGAAGGAAAGGGAATGGCAATTTTGACTGTAATAAATTCGCTTAGCAAGCAAAATTTATAGGCAAAACAAATGAACATAAATGATTTCAAAGGAGGGCTTTTCTGGTGTAGCAGATTTACGAAAAGAAAAAATATTTCTGGGCGTAACTAGAAACAACAGTCGGGCAGCAATTACCAATGGACTGGCAGGATAAAAATGGCATCTTTTCTAAAATATATGTGACAGATATTATTGACATAAAAAAACTTCTTTCGGTCACAGATAATAAATATGGATGAAACGTCGTTAGCTTTCAACTCTCCTGCAAACAGAACTGTTGATGAAACTGGTGCAAAAACTGTATCTGTGCTTACTACGGGGCATGATGTGTGATCATTTACATGTGTGTTAGCTTGTGCCGCAAACGGTGACAAGCTAAAGCTGATGATCATTTTTAATTTTTAAATGAAAAACTATTCCGAAGGAAGATTTCCTAATGACATAATTATTTGTGCAAACGAGAACAGCTGGATGTGCGAAACAATCATGCATGAGTGGCTACAAAAATGTTTGGCAGTGTCGTAAGGGATCTTTTTTCCAACCAAAAGGGTTATTGACAATGGATTCGATGCGTGCTCATTTACTTGAGTCAGTGAAAACCAGATATCAGAAATTGTCTACGACCGTAGCAATAATTCCTGGTGGTTTGACAAGAATCTTACAACCATTAGATTTCTTAGGTAATAAATCCTTCAAAGCTGAAGCCCAAAAGCGGTAGGGGTGTTGGATGAGTGAAGGATTGCATACGTATACCAAAAGTGATAAAATGCGTCGAGCATCTTATGAAGAAGTTGCAGAGTGGGTAGGAAGTGCATGGAAATTGGTAAAAACATCGTCAATAATAGCAGGGTTCAAAGAAGCTGAAATTATATCCTTAGATAAAGAGACTGTAAACCAAAAGGATGAAATGTGACGATCTGGAAGACTTGAACATAGATCAGGATTTACTAAATCTTTTTAATTCAGATAGTGAAGAATCAGATTTTGATGGCTTCATATGATGTGTAGTTTGCTGTAATTCCTTTTGTAAGTAAAATTTAAAATTTCCTTTTGTCATCCAAATTTAATATTTCGTTATTGCAATATTTTTTATAATATAGTCTGAGTATTACAAATATGGACTTCTTTAGTGGATAAATATAAGTATATTCGTGAACGTAAATATATTTTCAATATTTCTTACCTTTAATTTATTTTTGAGTTATGGTTTCATTTCAAGCATTTTTCTTAACTGATATGTCATACATCAGGACATAGGTTGAGATTTTGCATCTATACGGCCCACGATGATGTCACGCGCAATTTAATCTATTGTGGCGCTTCTGTGTAATTTTAATTTATTTCCTGCCATTTTTCTCGAATGCAGCGTTTACGCTGATGTGGCCTTTCTTCTGGAAATTACGGTATATGCCAACCGAAGTATGCACATAGCACACATGTGTTTGAGTATATGTGGATTCACACTTTTGGAATTTAGGCATCATTTTTCTGAGTGGTATTTCTTTTTTCATTGAGTACTCTTTTTTTTTTTTTTTTCTTATCATAACAATAATTCCTGGTGGTTTGACAAGAATCTTACAACCATTAGATTTCTTAGGTAATAAATCCTTCAAAGCTGAAGCCCAAAAGCGGTATATTTATAGCGGTTATAATTGAACTGTAAAATTTGCCCTCTTTTGTATTCGTTGGAGTGTACATTAAGGTTTCGATTGTTTTGGGGCAATTGCGATTATGGCCAGTATGCGATGCTGAAGTTGATCACAGTGACATGTTTGTGCAATTCTGTGTGTTTTTTTTAGCAAAAATAGTTTGTCATATACATGGGGAAAATAAAGCGTCCCCCAAAAAGAAACATTTTCCAAAAAAGATAAGTGTTTTTTTAAATGAATGTGTGGCTAATGCAATGAATACTAGGCTGCATTGGATATATAATTGAAATAGACATGAAGGTAACCAAATAAATTCTTATCTTCAAAGTCAGTAACATTTTAATGAATGCCGTATAAAGTTGCCAATGAGTTTGCGACATTTTAGCATAATACAATATGTATATATATACTGGTGTGCAAAAATTAAGGACAAAGTCGAAAAATTAGCATATCAGCTGAACGAAGAGGCAGAGCGGACAGAAAGATCAATCAGGAGATTAAGTAAGGTGATGTATGGTAGCACATGCGCAGATATGCAGGTACACGTAGTGGGGGAGTGTCTGAGTAGTATAAAGCGTGTTGTCCATGTAAGATCAGTATTTCTGGCAAAGAGATTGCATGCCGTATAGCAGTTAAAACCACACTGAGTTGCTGCCTCAGCGAGAAATGGCGAATAATCAATCTGTTAGACGATATCTGGATGCTTTTACCCGAGGTTGAATCATTGGGAAGTTGGAGGAAGGCCGCAGTGTGACAAGTGTGGTTGCAGAGTTCGGAATTGCTCACAGCATCATTTCACGACTTTGGAGACAATTTCAAACTGCAGGAACAGCTATCTGGGGGTTTAGTAGTGGTCGTCCATGAGGAACCACACCCGCAGATGACTGGTATATTGCCTTACAGGCGAGAAGAAACAGGTGGCAGACAGCGGGAGAAATTGCTAGACACACGACACAGGCGACTGGACGACCGATATCGCGTTTTACCGTGGCCAGAAGACTGAACGGTGGTGGTCTGTTTGCATGACGCCCTGTGCGGTGTGTACCTCTAACGCCTGCCCATCGGAGAAGGCTTTCTCTGTGGTGCCGGGAACTTCGGAATTAGAGAGACAATGAATGGGGATGAGTACTCTTTACAGATGAGAGCAGATTCAGTCTGAGTAGCGATTCTCATCGCGTACTCATCTGGAGAGAGCGGGGAAGCCGCAATCATCCCTCGAACATCATTGAAAGGGACAGGTATGGAGGTGGTGGTGTTCTTGTTTGGGGAGGCATCATGCTTGGTATTTGTACAGACCTTCACATCTTCGACGCAGTTTCAGTCAATGGGATCTGTTATTGTAACGAGATTCTTCTTCCATATGTGCGTCTTTTTAGAGGCACTGTGGGTCCGCAGTTCCTTTTCATGGACGACAATGCACCATGTCATCGCACAGTAGCTGCCGAACAGCTCTTAGAGAGTGAGGATATTGAACGTGTGGATTGGCCAGCATGATCTCCGGATCTCAATCCCATCGAGCATGTATGGGATTTTCTAGGCAGATGCTTGGCAGCTCGTACCTTACCACCAGTAACGATTCCGGAGCTTCAATTGGTGCTGCAAGATGAATGGGCAGCAATGCCTCAACAACTCATTGACACCCTCATTCTCAGCATGGGCAGATGCTGTGAAACCTGCCTAGCAGTCAGGGGAGATCATATCCCCTATTAAAGACCGGATATTTCTTGCTGGACACCCATCACAGGGATGTTTTGGCCTTCAGTCGCATTGCGCTCCATGCTACTTTTTCAATAAAACTTCTTTTTATCCCTCTGATTTCTCTTCTAGTAAGTGTTGCTTACATTACTCATGTCCTTACGTATTGGGGATCTTACGGTATTAAATGTGTTGATTTGGAAAGCTTTTGTACAAAGTTATATTGAAAAAAAAAAAAAAAAACCGTCTCATCCTTAATTTTTGCACACCAGTGTATATATATATATATACAGGGTGTTTCATAGATCATGGGATAAACTTGAAGGGGTGGTGGAGCATAATAAAACATGCATTTTTTTTTTTATAGGAATGTAGGGTCTAAAGTGACGGGTTAAGGCAGGAACACAAAAAAAGAGAGGAAAATGTGTTTATGTACAAAATCAGCACATAGTGCTTCTTTGTAGCAATACAGTATTCACAATAAATGTTCAAAATTGCGACCACCAGCAGTAATACATGCTTGGTAACGTCACAGATGAGATTGACAAACATTTTGAAAAACGGCAGGCATTTCGCGCAAACTTGCAGCTGCAATGGATAGTCGTGCAACGAGGTCCTCCCGGGAGTCTCGTAAATGATGCTCTTCAGATGGCCCCATTAAAAAAAATCCAAGCTTGATAAATCTGGCGAACGGGGGCAATCCATTGGCCTGGAAATGTCCCATCTAAGTAATTGCGGACCCGCACGGGGTTATGGGCTGGTGCACCATCATGCTGGAACCACATACGATCACGAACGACAGCCAGAACATCATGCAGCAATTTCGGTAGCACCTCTTGCAGAAAAACATAATAACATAAGCCATTTGTACGTGCCGGTAAGAGGTATGAGCCTATAAGATAGTCGTTAACAATACCCACCCACATATTCGCAGAGAAGCCGGTTTGGAATGCATGTGGACATGTGCCATGTGGATTATGAGTTGTCCACACGTACATGTTGTGGCTATTGAAGATGCCGTCCTGTGAGAAAGTTGCCTTGTCCATGAATAGCATTCCGACGGGAAATCCGCCTGTGCCGCACACTACTGCAAGAACCAATGACAGAAATGAACTTGAAGAGGGTAATCTGTCTCTTGCAAGGCTTGGACTCTCTGCAAATGGTATGGGTGTGAACCATTTTCATGCAATACTCTCCAAACGGTATACGACTCAGCTGCAGACGATGTGCAATAGCTCTTGTACTTGTCTGAGGTGATTCATGCACAATGTTCAAGATGGATTCTTCAATGCGAGGTTGTTGTGCACTTATTCCACTCCTAGTGTCAGAGGTGGCTTCAAATGACCCGTTTTCACACAGACTGATGCAACCTCTCGAACATTGTATGCTTCAGCATACGCCTGTCGGGAAACCGTTCCTGGTACAACCGTAGCGCTGCTCTGCCATTTCCATTAGCAGCACCATGCATGAGATGCATGTCATCTTTTTCCCTGTGTGTAACGCTCAACCTCAGAATTGCGAATGATCCTCTGATGCAACGGATCGTGTTTTGTCTGGCTCACTGCCGCCTTCTACTGCTGCATCGCCAGCCAATCACGGCTGTAGTTCCTATTACTGTTAGCGTTCCCTTTTTTGAACATTTATTGTGAATACTGTATTGCTGCAAATGTACTATTATGTTTAACAATTTGCATTATGTATTGTGTATAATCTATGTCAATCACTATCTGCATATCAAATTAAGCATAATTAAGCATACAACTCGTGTTTTTTGAAAATACTGAAAAAGTTTCATTGCATATTCATCCAAATAAATAAGTAAATTTGAGGGTTTAATTCGTGAATTATATGAAAGCAAGCTCAAGGTAAAAATTCTGTGTTTGAAATTAAACATTAATGAGATGCATATAAAAAGTAGGAAAATTTCCTTTTGCGGGTAAGGGGCAGAGGGTGTGTCAGAAAAATGTATACAAATTTTGAACTGCCAAAGAAAATTTATTTTCCTACCTACAAGGATAAATTTCTAAGGAAAAGTAATGTTTCCTCAACATGTGACAGCAGAGTCGTCGATCTAGCTGCACAACCCAGTTGGTGCCAAGAGAGCAACAGTAACAGGGGGATGTACATTTGAGCTTTCAAGGGCAGAAGCAGGTTATTAAGTAAATAATTAACGTGTATGTCTTACATTACTGTAGTCAAAGTGAGCTAATGATGAAAATATGTTTTTTTGCTGGAACTGCCAAGGTGGTGCATATATCTTTCTTAAGAAAATTGCTTGATTTATGTTCTATAATGCTTTGGTTCCCAACCTTTTTGATTTTCACACCCCTAAAAAGATTTGAATATATTCTTGCACCCTCTAAAACAGTTTCTTAAAAAAAGTTCTACGATCAGATTTTAATAATAAATAAAAATGAAACATGGAAATAAGAAATGATTCCTGAATTTTGTTTTGATTTAAAAAAGGACACTAAATATAGACTTTAAAATGATGTCGTTGTGAATGGGATAAGCACAATTAATGCGTTTTCACTACATTTTGGGAACATTACCAAATACCAATATTGGTCCAAAGTATTGCTTTCAAACTGTATTTCAAGAACATGATTTCCTTGGTGTTCTAAAAAATTTTCTATCAAGTCTTCAACATTCAACATATCCAAATCAAAAGAGTGTGGGTTTATAATCCATGTTTCTAAAGTTTTCAGTTCTTCTTTAAATACTCATCAAATGAGTTTTTAAGACTATTTCCAAATGATTCATAATTTCTTTGCATACTTCATATGCACATCACACACTGATGTTAACAATATGTGCAGAAAATCCGTTATCAGTGCATGCACATGAAATATATTTAGCAGCACATCAGTGTCATTTGTGTAAACTATTTAATTTATTTTAGAAAAAATATTTTCTCGCAACCCCAAGAAGGCTACCTCACATTCCTTCGAACCCCTGCTGCATTGGGAAAGATCATACATAAATTTGGTGAAAGGATACTGACTGAGATTTTATGATAAAATTTAAATATATACTATTATTATTAGCCCTAAATATAAAATATTTTTTAAAGTTCATGTAGTTATTTGTAGAAACTGATATTTTGAGTTTTATATATTATTTCTGAAACAGTGGTATTGTCATTTAAGTTATTAGGAACTGATGCTGGTGCTAAATGGCGTCAGCAGTGGGTTGAAGTAGCTCCTTTCTATGTCAATAAAGATATTGACAAATTAATCCATGACACAGAAGTAAGTCCTGTATATGTTTTGCTAAATAGATTTTAATTTTTTAATAGGTTTATTTTCACAATATGTATTTTAAATTTTTTTTTTTTTTTTGAAATGTTCTTTTAGAATATTGTCACAAGGCATTTAGAAAGTGGAGATCGTCAAAAAGCAATGAAAAGACTGAGGGTTCCACCTTTAAATGATCAGGTAAAATTATTAACATTGTATTCTGTAATTGATAGTACAAAAATATTTCCTCTGTTAATTTTTGAATTCGTATTTGAGTACTCTTGTATCATATTTTGGTAATGTACTTATATGTATATGATCAGTATTATTTTTTAAATTCATATTTATTTTTATTGCTAATTTATATTAAAATTAATTTCATTTGTATTAAATTTGGTTATATATATTTTAAACTATCTCTAGCAATCTCCCTGGGTGACTTTTAAAGTTGGACTTTTTTCCGGTGCCTTTGTCGTCCTTGTATGTGCAGTTATAATATCAGGTTTGTTAATATTCTATTCATGCATAAAATGTCAAAACTTTTATTCTGTGAATCAAAGTGCAGTTAAAATTGAAGAATTACTTTATGGAAATAGGGAACATAATATTCATGATGATTTCAGAATTACTGCTTTTACTCATACAGATACCATTAATTTAGCATATTATAAATTTAATTGGAACTTAAAATATAACATTCTTCTTTATGGTGTTTTAAATTATCTCTTGCATTTTGTAAAATGATAATAGTGTATATTTTTCAGTGGTAATCACTAGCAGTAATCCTGCTTGATGTGGTCAAGTGTTTCACTGCAGCATCTTATATATAAAATTAGTAACAGTAACAAAATTAAAAATTAGGCAAAATAACTTTAGTTGGGTGAAAGTTTTGAATAAAATTCTCATTCAAGGTTCAAGGCCAATCAGGCACAATCCTTCTTCAGGTGTAAAAACATATTCTGCATTAAGATCAGAGGAGCAGCAACTATTTTATATCAAAAGCAATAGGTGGAGCAGAGCTAAAATGAACATAGATCAAAGTTGAAGAAAGTAATAATGAAACTTTAAAAAAAAAAAAAAAAAAAAAAAAAAAAAAAAAAAAAAAAAAAATTGAAATTCTGAAAGTGCTTGGAAGAACTGGAATGGTATTAGTTCCAGTCTGTGAATGATTTTATGACAGCTAATGGAATTGATGTCATTAACTAAGGAAAATTATTTTGAAGCATCAGAAAAAACTGGATTGGAATACAATCCATTAATGACATTAATTCCAATCCAGTTGTTCCTAACACATTTAAAATACTGATATTTTTATCTTTCATGTTTCATTACTATTTTGCTTGATAGATGGCACTATGCTAATTTTTACTTTGCTCTGCCTATTGCCTTTCATATAAAATAATTGTCACTCCTACTGTCTTTACAAAAAATGGTTTTACTCCTGAAGAAGATAGCTATCAGAATCAATAGAATTTTATTCAAAATCTCTGCAAAATTAATGTTGCTTTTTTGTTTAAGTTTTACATTTCTGTGTTTCTCTTCTATTTAAACAATAATCCAAGTACAAGTGTTTTATGGCTTAAAATTTAAGAATTATATAGCCTGTGTACCCCCTTCCCAAATTGTCATATCACATGTAAAGAAAATAACTATTTTAAGCATAAGAGCTATTAAAATAAACTGAATTCATCAATAATCATATATGCGTGAAAGAATTGATGTTGGATATAGTATGTGCAATTTATGGAGGATGTTTTTATAGTATACCAGTAATTAAAATTTACTGAATGCTGTACAGGAAGTCATCTAGATTTTTTAACATTATTTACTCAGTTTAAGGCGTACTGCAATCAAAAAATTTATGTGGTATATACAGTTTATCTTACATATATACCGTGGTTCCAAAAGTGTTCGTACACTTATGATCTTCATTGAAATAGGGCTGTATCCATTAATTAAAAGTAAACTTTCTGAATGAGATTTTAATAATAAGGTCTATAATCTATTTGTAACAAAATTACATGAAATATTTTAAAAATATAGTGAAACTTTATTTTTATTTTTAAGAAATTAATAATAAAAAAATGACAAACATTTTATCTCAAAGTCTTCATACACTGAAATGTTTTTGGATAAAATCAAAGTTAGAATTATCGTTTGTCACTTTTTTTAATTTTTGCATTGTGGTGGCATTTTAAAAAATCATTTGCTTTAATTTTTTATTGTATACTTCATAATATTCTATTATTGAAAAATGGGTCGCAGTAGTAAAAAAATTACAAACAGCATTCGAAAATTGATAATTTTTTACCATAGTAGTGGTAAATCAATTCAAAATATCACTAAATTAGTTAATTTATCCCATTCTACAGTGCAGTATATGATAAAATGCTTTAAATGCTTTAAAGAAGAAAATTTTATTGAAAACCAAGGTAAGAAAAGGTTGAACAAGAAAGCTAACTAAACGTGATGAGAGATTTATTATTAGAAAATTTATGAAAAACCCATGTTTGAGTGCTATAAAAGTTTTTGCAGAATTTAATGCAAAGTTTTCTACTTCAATTTCACCTGAAACTGTTCGACGAGTTCTCAGAGAAAATGAATTACATGGGCGTTCTGCCCGTAAAACAATTTTTGCTAGTGAGAAAAACACATCGACCTATTTTTACTTAATAAAACATCCTAGAACTGCACAAACTCGGCATTGCGCACAAAAAATATATAATCTCAATAAACTGCATTTTAAACCAAACAATGAAATAACATAAAAAAGCACTACACACTATACAAAGGAAATAGCCACCTACCTTATTCAGAAATTTCTGTGAAATGCACAAACTCTGTATCCACGTACACATCGACCTATTTTCACTTAAAAAAATCCCAGAATTGCACAAACTCGGCATTGCGCACAAAAAATATATGATCTCAATAAACTGCGTTTTAAATTAAACAATGAAATAACATAAAAAAGCACTAAACAAAGGAAATACCCACCTACCTTATTTAGAAATTTCTGTGTCTTCAGTCTGTGGAACACAAAATTCCTAAACAGCATCCAAAAACTTTCCTCAAATGATGTTCCCTTTCTAATAGAACACTTTATATGGCGACCATTTCAACCTTTCTTGCGACAAACCCATTCAAAGCCATCTGAACGATCTTTATGTTCGACCATATGCATTTCCTTTGTACAAACAGGACACTTATAATTGCTACTAAGTAAACCTTCATTTACACACCAGTCAATTAATGCTTTTCCCCTTCGTTCCAAATCCTATAGAAATTTCAAATTAATCTTACCACATTCAGCTGTTTTATGGTGTAAACCACAAAATAAGCAACTTTCTAACTAACATCCAACATACAAACAAGCCTTTACAAATCTTTTCCCATCATTCAAATTCACGCAACCACGTATGTCATAATAGGTTTTTCATAACATTCAACTACTTGGGTTACCAGAAATGAAACAACAACGTGGCAATAATCCAATGGGCACACTTTACTCAGGTTCTCATAAATGAAATAACAACTTGGCAGGGGCACCATCAAATATAGGCTAGCCTCTTTTTCCAGCACTGGTAGATTGGAATTAAGTACGTTAAATATTTGGCAATGAAAAATAGAATTTTTACCACCAAAGAAACATTAACTGTGTATGCATAAAATGTTAACCATGTATGCTTGTGTAGATAATTGTATATTTCTCATGATGATGAAAATGTGCCAATTCCTATTTCCGGCCAAGGATATTACAACTGACTAGTACCTTCACTCACATACAAAATTAAGGTGCTTATGTGTTAGCTTAACTATTTTAGTAGAAGTTGCAAAACTCTAGCATTCATGCACATAAGAATTCTTCATTTGTTGCAAACATTCTCATATGGATCTTTTTATTGTATTTCAAATTCCAACAATTTTGGTAGACAAATCATATAAATTATATTGTCCTAAATATAATTTTAAAATGTGAACTTCTGGTTTTTAGTGCCTTGCCACTAATTATGACTAAATGTGCTGCATCATATTAAAATTTGAAGACCTTCCATTGTCCACATAGTAAAATCACTGACCAGTGTTTATCTTGGGTTCAAATCTTGGCAAAGGGGCTGGCTGCCTAGGAGCATTTTCTTGGTTTTTCTCCATGTGTAACATGAATATGAGTGAGTTTTTTTCAGAAGACCTCTACAAAGGCATCCCTTCTCTTAGGCAGATAGCTTTCGAGTTCTTTGCTGTAATCTAAATAATGCAATTCATAAAATTTAATAGTTGCAACATGATATCTTCTTATATTTAGTAATCTAGGTATAAATTTGAAGAAGAAACTAGTTGTTCCTTATGTATTGATTTCTTCATAAATGCTGAAATTGATGTATATCTTTCAGTTTAATCACATTCATATATATTGTTAATCAAATCTCAGCGAAGCTGGAAATATTTTTTTTATCTCATCTTTAGTTATGCATTTAGATTGGTAACAAATAATTAGTAATTATTTTCAAATTGTATGTACTAATTTTTATGTGCGACTTTTTATTTTAGAATATGTATCTAGATATTTAGTTTTATTATATTGAGATATTTTACTTAATGTTCAGTATTGTCTTTCTTTTATTGTAGCTGTGTTTGCTGATGCTTCTGTTAATTGGCGAATTGCTGTGCGTCTGTATAGAGGTAGCTTATTGATTATTCTGTTTTTGTTCCTTATTGGAATAAATGTGTATGGCTGGCGAACATCTGGTGTTAATCATGTGTTAATATTTGAGTTGGATCCAAGAAATCATCTCTCTGAGCAGCATTTAATGGAGGTATGTATAATAATGATGACTATAAAAACCAAGTTTTTTTATGAAGAGTATAATTTTTTTTTAAATAATGTGCAATAATATTTTAAAATTTATTCAAAATGTTGAAAGAGAGTTGCAATTTAAAAGTTCTTTTAAAAATGTTTGGTTTCAAAATATTAACTAGATGACATTTTATAAAATAAAATACACATTGAAAATACTTTTGAATTTTTGGACTATGATCGAAATTATAATGGAAAAAATCAAAATGCTTATTTAGAGATATTTGTATTTTTCATTTTTATATACTGACAAGTAATTGTAGTACTGATGCTATTTCATTTAATAAACTATCTTTGTACTTTATGATTATCTGTCCTGTTTTTGCTTGAAAAAACTATGTCCTCAGCAATCTGTTTTCACTTAAAAGTAACATTGCAGAAAATTGGCATTGGTGCACAAGTTTTGATTTATAAAATTAAATTATTTATGAAGTAGCATTCAATTATTTATAGAATGTGAATTTTTACATTCTGAACTATTAGATAAAAGGCCATGTTTCTGAAGAAATGCAAGATTTTCTTTTTATTCCACAATTCCTCATAAGAAAAATAACCTCACATTCATTTCACTCTTTTTCTAAAACTAAGCTTCAGTAGTAGTCTTTTACTACTACTGAAAATGATGATGGGATTTTTATACATAAAACATATTTTATGTATAAAAATCCCATCATCATTTTTTAATATTTCAATTCCAAGTAACTTTTCTAGTTCTACCTAATATGATAAACGTAATTCATCTGCAAAACTATTATATATATACAGCATTATTACTTTCTAAAAAGGTACTATAAATCTACCTACAGTAAAAGAATGACATTAAGGCTTTTATAAACACTATTGTATTGTAGTATTTCTTAAAATTAAGATTTTCTAAATGCATGTGTATGGTTTCATAGTGGATTGAATGCACACAGAACCGATGATAGCTTGATAAAATTCATTTTCCCGAAGGAACACTTTACAGTTCTGGAACTTTCTACAGAAGTACTCGGATAGCTATTTTCAGTATAACAGAGCACAATCAGTAGTTACCACCATAACTACTGAGAATGTCAAATACAATGCAATGCAATATGCATGTTAAGAGCAGAGATCGCACAGAGAACTCTCAATACTCCAGAATCAACTCTGAACTGATGCTGTCTCCAAGCTTATATAGTTTTCCCCAGTAGTACCTCCATTTCTCGAAATGACTGGAAAACATGCACTTTTAAAGTTACATTTAAGGGCCGGATTCAGTTACATATATATTTAAGGATCAATTACAGTTATACAGGGACTGGAGCAAAATGTCACCAAATGGTTGTCAAGTTTGGCATCTTCTCACCAAATTTTGCGACAAAAATTGGTTTCTTACTAAGGTTCTGTAATGGCAATACCTTCTTCCATTATGAAAATGTCATTAAAAAGTGATTTTATTTTTAAACTTATGTAAGTGACTCTTCAGATTCAAAAATCAGTTGTATTCTAAATATACTTCAAATATTTTATAACATTGTGTGAGGGTCATTTTAGATAGGGTCATAGAAGAGTCCTGTATAGTGTAACAAGTATTTATTAACAGGTTTAAGTTACACACGGACATTACATTTAACTTTAAGAAAATTACAGAGCAGAGAGTCTGGTACAACCTATCAAGTTAGACGCTTGGCTTTTACTGAAGTACTTCTCTGGCTACTCACCAGAGGGCAGCCTTGTTGTCACAGTTAGTCCAACAGCTTATGTTAAAGGATTGGCTACAACATGTAAATTCTGCATTATGAAATAACTGTATATTGTATTCAATTATTTTTATATTCTGATTTTTGCCAAATAATTTCTGGTTTATAAATATAGATTGTTAGAATATTTTTATATTGTACATGACTGTTGTTTTAATATACTAATTGCAGTTTCTTTGAATTAATTTTTTTATCTAAGATAATAGTTTACTGAAGTGTAGGTATATTCGTTTAATATATTAACTTTGGTATATATTTTTATAGATTGCTGCCATTTCAAGTGTGATGTGGGCATTAAGTGTTCTTGCGTTCCTTTTTAGCGATGCATTATCAATTCCTGCATATGCTAATCCCTTAATGTTAGTTGCTATTCTTCTTGCATTCCTATTCAATCCAACCAGAACTTTGAGACATCATGCAAGATTTTGGTTACTGAGAGTTTTGGTATGAAAAGTTTTTTCCGTGTTTATGTACAATTCTTTAATCTTTCAGTTTGTCCAGTTCTCTAAACATTTAGGAAATTTTAAGGAAATTGGTAATTATTTTTATACTTATATTTTAATACATTATTTATTACTTATAAAATTAGTTATATATGATTTTTATACTTATATTAAAAGTCTAATTTAGCTTTTGTAAAAGTTTCATTTCATTATTAAACATTTGTTTAATAATGCCTGTTTATGTAATGTGAAATGCAAAGTGTTGTCATTACATATTAGTGAATGTTGTAAATTGTACAAAATAAAATGTTTACATTGGCGAATGTGGTTATGCCATTAATACATTGTGTGTGTCATTACTATGCCATTAATACATTGTTACATGTTACACCATTAATACATTGTGTATGTCATTACTAAGATTTAAATTTGAAATTTTACAATCATCATAATTCTTACTATTGTTATTTATAGTAACTTATAAAAGGAATTGTGTGATGATTATCAAATTATAATATCTGAATTTAAGTCAAATATGGAGAACGCCATTGTCAGCAATGTTTTTAATTAAATTTCTAGTGATTGAATTTGTAATAACCAATTTTAATATTACTTAAAAGATTTAAACTGTTACAATTTATGCAATTCAATAATTAATATACTTATATGTCTGCAATGAAAATATTTTAGGTTTATCAGTAATTTATAAATGATAGGAAAATGTTTTAACTTTTATCTAATTTTAAAATGAATATAAGTTTTAATCCTTAGTGTAATGTTATTATGTCTTATTTTTGAACCATTCTAAAAATTATAAGCATTTTTTAAATATGTAACTAGTATAATTACTTACTGAAAGCAATTTCTTATGTTTTGAACTTTTTCATTCTGTAACAAACCATCATTTAGCAATAATGCCGCATAGTCAGACAACCAAGTTAGCTGCCATTTTCACATATCTGCTAAATAATAATAATAAATTTGTCATGTTGTCTTTAGGTTTTAATTGCAGATGTATTTCAGGGTATTGTTTTATGTTAGCAATCACTAGCTTGAATTTCTATGAAAAATTGCATTAAGAACTCCCTTTCTTTTGTTAGTTGTATTTTCATTAAGAGAATATTTCAATTTTCTAGTACAGTTATGGCATATCTCCATACTGAAGTGTTATTGCCAATGTAAAGCAAGACTTTTTGTTATTTAAAGATTTGCAATTCTTTGCATTATTTTTTACATTATGTTTTTTCAGAACTTCTTTGAACACTATTTTTATCTTTTAGGGTCGAATAATTGCAGCTCCTTTTTTCCATGTTGGCTTTGCTGACTTTTGGCTAGCTGACCAGCTGAATAGTCTAGTACCTGTATTGGTTGATTTTCAGTATTTTGTGTGTTTTTATGCAACTGATCTTGACTGGCATGTTAATACAGGTAAGTATAATTAGAAACATGGTTAACTTGAAAATGTAAAATTATGAAATAAATTTTGCGTCTATGAAATTAAAATTTTATTATCCAGTAGATTTCTGATTATCTGCATATCTTGGGACCAATGATTATGTGAGTTAGAGAAATGTTTTAAGCACAGGTTGTGTTTTTGTTTTTTACTTCCTTGTACAAAGTAAACAAAGTATTGTAACTGCAAAAACTTTTGTGTATAAATTTCAACGAAAATATCCAGTTTGAGCACTACCGAATGCAATTTAACAATGTTTCTGCATGACATCTGTACATAAGGACAGAATAAAGAACTCATTTTCCCAAAATGGGTTGCAAAAAGGATTTAAAATAGATTCAAAAGAGATTTTTTTGTGACATCTGTATATATCTCGGATAACTACAAAACGAGTAGCCTCCGAATGTTGAAATTTTGTATACAAGACTGCATATAGGAATTGTGCACCTTCCTTTTTGGTTGCAATTGGCTGTACCAAGAGTATATAAACATATATATGTACTAAAATAATATTGATTATATTATCTCCCAATATAAAGTTGGTAGAATGTATCTGAATGAAGTAACCCCAAAGTACGAAATTGAATCCCAAAAATAACATTTTAGCAACTTGAATTTAAAGCATGAAAAATAAAAATGCATTTTACTAACTTTATACAGTCAAAAGTCTTTAATCCGGACTCGTCGGGACTTCGGCAATTCTGGATTATCGATTTTTCCGGATGACAGACAGATCATCAGTTTAAATCTGGTAAGATGGCATGCAGAAATTATACAATTAAAAATATGTAATCGTAATTTATGAAATAAAGAGAAATTGTGATCTAAAGGGTATCAAAATTTACAAATAAAGCTTAATATTTATTTGTTTACTTTATTAAACATTTCTTTCAACGCGCGCATGTGTAAAGCATACATTATGCATAGTCGAAATTAGAAAATTGCAACCAGAAAACTATTTTATGTGTATTTGTGATATTTATAATGACGAGGAATTTGATTTAAATCATATCAAAGGCAGAGTACATCGAGATGAAATACTACATTTAATAAGGAATTATAAGCCAAATAAAATAAAAGCATCTGCCCTGAAATTCATAAACAGATTTCGGAATGGTTAGAAAAACAAATCACCTCTCAGTCACTTTCTTCATGCCTTTTTATCCATTTTTTGCAGCAATTCCACTTTTTGTTTAATGGACATCGAAACATGCTTTTGCTTTGTAGATCCTTTGGCAGGTTCAGAATCGAAAATTCTTTTTGACATAATCGAAAGTTCAAGCTTACTTTTTATAAAATTGCTCTAACAGTCTGCAAAAAATAATAAGCCGGGTTCAATTAGAAGATTAAGGAACAATGCAATCTGCAACATTAACTGAAATAGATAATTGGATAATTTTAGCTTAGCTTATACTGTCCATTATATATTAAACGCGCATGCGTAAACACATATGCACATGCATAAAGGTATTATGTGCATGCGTTTACGCATGGGCAGAAAGTTTGTAGCTTTGAGGTCCGGATTAAAGACTTTTGTCTATATTAGGAGATAATATTACTTTAGTAAATAAATTATTATTATCTTACTTTGCAGCTATTAAGTATTAGGAAATTTTTTTTTTCAATTTCAATGAATTTCCATTAATTAATTCAATATATATATATATTTACTAAAGTAAGATTGTTTATTATCTCCTTATATAAATTTAGTAGAAATTGTAAATAAAGTAATCCAGAAGTCTGAAATTTAATCTCGAAAATAATATTTTAAAGGAACTTTCGATTTCAATGAATTCCAGTTCATTAATTCAATATATATATACACACACTCTTTTGCAAAAAAAATCGAAGCACTATAAAGGCACTATGTGGTTGTTTTTGATGAAATTGAATATGTGTATAGCTCATACACAGATAATAAAATGATTAAAAAATCAAGGTCATATTACCTGTTCTCATAGTTCACAATTTCCCATTGAGTGTTTAAATTAGTAGTTGGTCAAACCACCCCTGGTGGCAATGCATGCTAGAATCTGTTGAGGCAAGGAGTGGTAGAAGTTCCTAATGTTATCCTGCGACACATTCTGTCAGGCATTCAGATCTGCGATATTTTGTTATGCCCGAATGCCGATGACGTGCCGTGAAGGGTAATGCAACCGACTGCAAGATGGTATCAACATATCGTTGAGCTGTTAAAGATGTACGGAGGATGATTAAAGATGACCTGCTGCCATAAGAAATAGCACTCCACACCATAACACCAGGGATTATGGCTGTATGCCTTTGTAAAACAAAGGCTTATTGGGACCGCTGGCCCTGTCCTTTCCACTGTGGTCATCTGCTTCAAGAATGATTTGGGATTCATCGCTGAACACTATATGATAACATTCTGATGGCAGCCATCATTATCGGCTGAGACACCATTCTATACAACTCCACCCATGTTGTAGGATCAAAGGCAAATGTCTTAAAGGCCTCTGTGAGCATAACCCCACTTCAGACAAGCGGCATGAGATGGTGGACGGTACCACAGGAGGTGTAGACATGATTGTAGTGCGTTGAATAGTTGGCAATTTTCCGCCTCTGTTGCTGGTTTTATATTTTGCGAATTGCGCGCTATGATCTCAAATAGTGTTCATTTGCCTTGAAACTTTGATCATTTGCATGTTCTATCAAGATGTTTTTGCATACAACATTTTGTCACAATCATCGCAAAAGTCCTTCTTGGTGCTTCAATTTTTTTTTTGCAAAAGAGTGTATGTATAGCCACTCATATAATTCAATATATATATGTATATACCCACTCAATATATTTTTCCTTAAGCTTTTTTTTTTTTTTTTTAAATTCTTATATGTTGGTAAATTGTGCATTTTTTGCTTTAAAAATGATTGAATTATGTTGTTATCTTCTGGTTAAGATTTTTATGCCTTTAAATCTGCATGCAATAATTGTAGAATTATCAACAATTTAAAAGTTGTTTAAGTGCTGCTAAGCTTAATTTATTTACCATAGCAGCCACATATATTTTTTTTACATTTGAAACATCAGAATAGTGAATCAAGTCAATTTCTGTACCTTCAGTGTCTTTTTGCGGAGTGGGACCAAATGTAAACTTTGTTTGTGCACCAAAAAATCTGCCTTCTTGCTCCTTGGCCAAATTGCTTGTTTTTGCATAGAAACTGTAGTTTTAATTGTAAAAATTGTCTTTTTAACTGTTTTAGGTGTTTTATATTTTTTTTATATTTTTCAATTTTTAATAAAGATATTTTGAGGTTTTATGTATTTTTGCCTTGCCATGAAATGAGAACTGAATTAATGAGAAATACATCTCTACTGAAATTCGAGAAAATAAGTTTATGCTGGAAAAATGCACATAATTTCACATTCTATACAAGGAAATCGTGGCGTACACATCAGATTTTTTTTAGTTTTGCTTATGCTCGTTTCCCTCTTAATTTTAATATTAAATCTGGATTGTCTGCATATAAGTAACTAATTAGATCATATCTTGAAAATTATCTAATCAAGACTTGTGAATACAAAGCTATTACATTTTATAATACATTTATTTACTGAGAAATAATATCAGTATAGGGGAAAATAACACTGGGTAGATATAGTGCTGAATAATAGGGAATTCTTTCATAAAAATGCATTATATTTTATGGAAGAGGGATTGTATGCAAAATGCATTATATTTTATGGAAGAGGGATCAGCAAAATTATTTTCAAAATAATTTACCCATTCTTAAATGAGAAAAAAGTATCGATAAGTAAATAAATATATTATTAAAAAAAAAAAAAAAAAAACCAGCAGTACATTTTTTTTTCGAATTGAATCGGGTTGTTAATTAGTAGTGTTACTACACTACTAGCAGTTCAAAAAAGTACTAAAGTTGAAATTTTGGATTAATTAAAAAAAGTTCTGGTTTTTCTCTTTTCTCTCTTTTTTTTTAATGCCAGAAATATCTCTAGAAGCACCATTATTAAGCATTTAACTCTATACAGATATAAACAAGCTTATTGTGCAGAATGTAAAGAAACCAGCAGTGAGGTGTTTTAGTTGGAACTCAACCAATGAAATGCTGTGGCTTAATAAATTCCTCATACATGTTAATTACATAAAATTAATTTGAAAAGACTATGGTGTAGATGCTCAAAAATAATGATATATCTAAAATAACAAATTTTTAGATTTCATGATCTGTGTTAAAACCAAAAACGTGAGCACAGGATTCCTTTTCATTGCTAATTGCCTTCAACAGTAAAGTAAAATGCTAATTGACTTTACTAATTAATTGACTAATTAATTGGAAATATTAAAATATATTTCCACCTTCAATCAAAACATGTTACAAATGTAATGTGCTTTCGTTGAAAAATTATTTATATATTTATATATGAAAAAAATTACCATTAAATTTACCATTTTTTTATATGTAAAAATGCATCCAGATTGTAAGCAATTTGCATATTGTTGGAATTCTACTGTAATATATTATTTTGATAAATATTTTAATAAATATATATAATTTAAGATAAGCTTTCTAAGCAAAGTGAAATTTATGTATTTTTCAGATTCTAATAAGTGCGTGGATGATATTGGTTTAATATCAAGACCAATTGTAGCTTGTCTTCCTGCATGGTTTCGCTTTGCACAATGTCTTCGCCGATACCGTGACACACATGAAGCTTTCCCACATTTAGTAAATGCTGGAAAATATTCTACAACGTTTTTCAATGTGGCATTTTCATCGCTTTATGTATACTCAAAAGGTTAGTTAATGTTAATTTTGACATTATAGTTCCTTTTTCCTATGAATTTGATAGTTTTTAATGAAATAAAAGGGTATTATTGCATTATCTGCTGAACCATGACAAGTATCATCATGCAAAGTTGTATGTTGCCACAGTAGGCAACACAAGAAATTATTTATCTGGCAACCCATGAATGGTTGCTTGCGCATTACAGAAATGCGTATTATGGTGTCAGCTATCTTATGCATTACAGAAATGAGTATTATGCTGTCAGCTATCTTGATAGAAGTGATAGTAAATTCCACAGTTTTGAAATTTGGGAAGGGTCATGATTATTATTTCTGTTTGTTGTGATTAGTGTGTAGAGTTTTTTTTCTTATATTGAATCGTAATATCTTATATTGTATTGAAGCATTACAATTGAAAGCATTGCATTTTTTCAGAAATATGATATTTTGCTTACATGTACAGATTATAGTAATGCTTATTCCATGAAATTAATTTGTGAAAGTCTCTAATGCTTCTTTAAGTTAAAACAGGTTGATTTGTACATGGAGAGCATTGCCAGTTTTCTTTGAACTGCTGAGAATTCTTTTTTTTTTTTTTTTTTTTTTTTTTTTTTTTTTTTTTAAATATAGAATAGATTGTTATGGCATGAAGGAATTCAGAGAAAATAGAAAGTTAAGTGTTTTATTATGGATTTGCATTTTTAATTTAGTTAATTTGTTACTGTTTTATGAAATATTTTGTTATGGATTCTTGTTTTATGTAATTTTGTGACTCATTTTGGATGTTTCCTGCATATTTAATTTCATTAATTTGTTGCTTTTTTTATGTTTTATGTAATTTTCAGCGTGTAAGCATTTTAAAAAATGACTACTGTTTTCTATGTGTTAGGGAGTCAGTATTCCAACACAAAAATCAGTATTTCCACCCAAATACTGTTTTTTGTGTTGGGTGATTTAAAAGTTATAAATTGTATGCCAAATATTAAAAAAAATCACATTAATATATTCAGTGTAGCCATTGTTTTAATTAAAATTGAACTTTTGGCAATTTTAATCTGCGATTTTGTTTCTGAAAGCTTGCTTATATTTGTAAATTTTAAAATAATAATAACAATAATGATACAAGAGAATAGATAAAAAATAATAAAACATAAATCTATTAAAATAAATTGAAAATTGTTTCATGTTACTCTAATTGATTGAGTGTAATGATAGTGGTGCAGCTTTGTATGCTGTAAGTTTTTACTAGCAAAATGCTGGTTCCTGCATTAGATTTATTAAGCAAGTCTAAGAAAAGTGAACATTGTCAAAATAAGTCAGTCTCATTATTTCTTAAGTATCAATAAATATAGAACACTAAAGGAGGGATAAACTGTGATGTTGAAAGTCTGGTTCTTGACAGTGGATGGGTTGGCTGCAAAGATGTTTTCATAATGTGTGATGTAAAGAAACTGAATTGCCAAGATAAGTATACGTGGAGCTTTCGTATAGTGTTTAACCCTTTTTGCGACGGCACACCTATGTTTAAGACACTCGTAAGGGTGGGAAGGAAATCGAAGGCTGTCACAGTACAGGACGGAGGCTTTGCATTGCTAAGCGTAATTTTATAAAAAAAATCGAAAAAAAAAAAAGTTTCACTTCTAGCATCGTAATTTTTTGGTATCATTTAAGATTATTACTTCAACTCTTATACATGTTAAAACTAGGACTTAATTGTATTTTTTCTTTATTTTACATGAAAATATACTTATAAAATTGCTTATCTTGTAAAATAATTTTCGGAATTGCTATTCAAATTATTCCAAAGTTTTAATTGATAAAATCCATCAATAAAGTTTAAAATTATTAAAACAACACAATAAAGAATATTTACAGTAAGAAGTAACAAAATTTATAAAGACTGAGTGTGGTAAATCTCAAAGCATGGAGAAATATCACTTTCTAACTCTTAGAAAAAGTATCATTTTCTAACACTTTAGAAAATGAATCATCACTCTCATCTGCATTAGTAATTGGTTCATTAACCATACGAAGGTATTCTTCCTCTGATAAATAGCGCCTTTCCGCGATAATAGACTGGAGGTGAGGCTTTCCAAAATAAAAAGAAAAGAAATGGAAATATATCTGAAGGCAATGCAAAACGTAAAAAAACTCCACATAGTAACCCTAAAAGATTATATGTAGTAGAGGGAAAAAGTAGAATAAAAAAAGGAATTGGATATAAATCACACATGTGAATGTTTATATTAGCACACCACGATTTAAACAGTCCACTTCTGTTTACGCTTCCCCCCACAACACTTGATGAGTAAAATACCAAAGTCAGGCAGAATATATCAAACTCAAGGTCAGGAACCTAAAACTGTGTTCATTTCAAAAGTAATGGACATAGGATGCTATCTAGTGGCCTTCAGAAAAACATTACAGCTTAAAATGCGTATACTCGTCACCCGTCCTCTGAATGCAATCTGCAGTGATGTGTGGATGGGAAACCCAGCTGTAAGAGACGTTCTTAGGGAATGCGTATATGGGACGCCCGTCCTGAAAGAGTTAATGAGTGTTCAGTAAGATAAATCATGCTAGTATGGGAATTAGTGATCTGAATGGCATTTGCTGAATCATTTCTGTTTCAGTTGTACCTGATCAGGAATTTTCTTTTGTTGGTATAAATTATTATTACTAGGGAATACTGTGGTATTCCAATTTATAAGTTTAATTGTTGAAAAATTGAATTTACTTCTTTTATCAAAAAGTCCTGCTTTAAGAATAAAAATGCTAAGATCCAGACAATCTACCATTAACTGTTTCTTACTGGTCTTGTTAAGCTTAAGCACTTGTTAGATGTAGCTTATTTAAATAAGATTATTATTATTGAATGTATCGGGTCAGTCCATAAGTTCATGCGCATTAAGAGTATGCATGGAATTCAGTATGATGCATTTACTAAAGCAATACAATTTTGAACCTGTTGAAACTTGCCGTCGTTTGACTAATTATTCAGTTCATCACCAACCTTCGTAAATAACGAATGCATTTTAGTACCCATAGAAGATGAAATTAGATAATCAGTACAAACGTGGTGTGCTGCATTTTTTATTTTCGTGTGGAGAATCTGCCAGGTTTGCAGCGATAAAAATTAATAGTATACATGGTGAACACACTGTTAGTGTAAGGACTGCCCAGAAATGGTTTAAAAAATTTTAAAGTTGGTAAAAGCAGCATTGATGATGAACCCTGTTCAGGACATTTTGAACTGTTAGAACCAAATCAAACGATTAATCCAGAAGTTTACAGTGAACAACTTTGCCGTCTAAAACTCAGAATTGTTCAAAAAACGCCCACGATTGGTGAATATCAAGAAAGTGTTGTTTCATCATGATAATGCTAGACCACATACGGCTCGAACAATACTGCAAAAAATTTTATATGGAGAATTTAATATGGAGCTTTTGCCACTTCCTGCTTACTCCCTAGATATTGCCCCAAGTGATTTTCACTTATTTCGTGCCTAACAAAATTTTTTTACTGGGAAAAAAATTAAATCGTAAACAGGATGTACACAATGAACTTTCAAGTTTTTTTTGCATCAAAACCAGTCTTTGTACAGCAATGGCATAAAAAAGCTGCCTGAAAGATGGTGAGACATTGTAGATAATTGATTAAAATGTTAAATTGTATTTTTTTATATTATTTAAAAATTTACCAAAAAATGCACATGAATTTATGGGCTGACCATACCCTGCCCAGTGCTTAATATCATCAATATTTCTGAATGTAAAAATATATATAGTATAATAAGGACTTAAAACCAATTTCCTGCATATAATGCTCCTAAGATGTAATGTGTTAATATAAATAATGATGAAATTAAAACTAAACAGGCAAACGAAAAACAAATAGGAAAATATATAATAAATTTAGCAAATAAAAAAAATTTTAATTAATTTTTAAATTTGTAGTACCATAAATTTTTGATCCACCGGCTGGGCAAGGCTGACTCACCCTTTCACCCCTTGTGTGGGTGGATAAAATGAGTACAAGGTTCGCTTGGGCACTACCGGGGGTCCTGCGACAAGCTGACCACTTGTCCAGGAAGGATGCACGAGCACTTCCTGGATCGGATCCCACGGTCCAGAAAGCAGATATCAGGGCACTGCCGACCATGGCTGTCTAAGGGCTATTTGTGCCGCTGAGTTCAGTTTTTTAGGTTAGTACCATAAATTTGCTCAACTTATTATGTATTATTTCTTTTTCTTTTGCCTGTTTAGTTTTAATTTTATTTTAATTTATATATGTATATTTACCCATTTTGATTTTTTTGTATTTTTTTATTCTCAATATTGAATGAGAAATGTTCAATTTTACTTTTTAAACATTTATGTATATTAAAATTAACTTTTTTATTGACTTACATGTTTTTAATGCAAATTATGTGCATGTAGATTCTTATGGCTACACATGGCAAAATCCTTTCTTCTATCTGTGGATTGTATTTGGGTTTATCAGTTCAATTTATACTTATATCTGGGACATTAAAATGGATTGGGGATTGTTTGATGCAAATACTGGTGAAAATCCATTTCTAAGAGAAGAAATTGTTTATTCGTCTCCGGTAAGTTTTTTTCCTCCTTTGAATATAAAATATTGTACTGAAATAGACCGAGATTTAAAACAGCATGAATGAGAGACATTTGCAGAATAAGGTTGCCAACTTGTTACTATTGTTTTTGTGTTGTAATGCTCTTAGAGTGGATATCAGTTTATAGCTACTGTATTGCAGTGTTACTAGTGCTCTTTTTAAAATATTGAATAGTGCACTAGTTTAAAATGTTTTCTATCATGCATTTCATTTTTTTGGGGGGGGGGCAATTTTTGGAGTGGTTAAGAATTTAACCATACTATGTAGTTAACATGTTTTTTCAATTAGTATGTATTAAACCAAGTTGTATGTTAGTATTTGATAGCTCAATTAATTATTAATTAAAAGTAATTTGATCAATTTAGAAATTTAAGGTGCTTTTAATGACTTTTTATTGGAAAATTATGCAAAGAGAAAATCCTTAATTAATCCTGTGAGCTAACTTTTAAATTTGTTAAGTTAAGTAGCTGACTTTTTATTATAGTTTGAAATTAATTATTTGTAAAGCATTAAAAGGCAGATTATAGATTTTTAATTAAGCCGATAGGATTGTTTCATATCACTGTCATTCCTTTTTTTTTAAATAAACATTTAAACACAGAATATGTAGTGACAGTATATTGTGTTTAAAATTAATGAGTACATATTTAAATAAAAATTGTTTTCTTGTAATAGTATAGTAGAATTTTAGATTACTAAAATTGGTGCTTTAGGTGATGTATGAAGGAAAGTCATTAAATAAGTCGTCACAAATTCATGATGTATTTGAAAGCAGCAGTGAGTACTTTCCATGTATGGTAATAGGTAGCAGAACCATCCTAATTCATGATATTCATTTTGTTACTAAAAACCAGTTGCAGATGCATAGTTCAATTTGAAAATGCTGATGGAACACGATTACTGTACAAGAGAGTAGTTTGCTATTATTTTTCTGGGGGGGGGAAGGAGCAAAAGACTTTATGGAAATGATTTTTATGAAAGGAACATTTCTTGTTTACGAAGGGGAGTATTTATTGCATAAAGCTGTGCATAAGTGTGTATAGAAATTATCTCAGGGCCACTTTGAAGTTTGCGATGAAAACTGAAGTGAGTATGCTGTTCAGATTAAGGCAGACTCAACAAGGCAGAGAGTAGAGGAATTGATTCAAGAAATATAATAATAGTAGCAGTAACTGTTTGGTCCACTAAAATACATCTTGGAGGCAAATGCTCTGCAAATGATAATGATGTTCAAGATGAAGACCTAATGTAATTAATAATAAAATTAGTGGCTGAGACAGCAACCCAAAGATTTTTATGCAGCAGGTAAAGGAATATTGATGAAATGCTGAGACAAGTATATAAATAATTATGAAGGTTATGTTGATTAGCTAAAAATACTTTTTTTCAGGTGAGTATCTCATTAGGTTATTTTGTAGTTGCCTTTTGTGACTGACTTATTGACTTTCCTTATTCGTACGTATTAATTTATTATATGTTATTTTTTAGTTGGAAAAGGGAGACAAAGATAAAGCATGTTCAAATGTGCTTCAGAATTAGTTATTTTAGCTATTTTTAAATTGTAAATAATATGTATATGCAAATTTACTTATTTTATATATTTATTAAAACGTAATTCAAACTATGTATACTACAAATTGAGGTGATAGACAATTTGGCTTTTCTCTGACAGACTAATGATTGCTGTAGCAGTTCTGTTTTTGCCAGAGGATAGTTTAAGAATTTCCTGTTCCCTTTAATTTTTTAATGGCTACTTAAAACACTTGATTTTTTTAAAGACTTCTTAAGATTACTATTAAATAGTTTACATAATATGAATTATTTGAATCTAAATTAACTTTCAACTGAATTATGTACCCCTTGAGTGTCCTGAGGGATTTTTTTAACACTTTGAAAGTTGTTGCTTTATTTGTTTGATCATGATTATTCTCTCCTGTTTGTATTCATGACCATCCATTGTAAAATACTTTAGTCTGGTGTTTTATTTAGGAAAGTAGAAATTATTTTCAGAAACTGTTGATAATTAAAATGTTATGTAAAGCAAGGTAGCAAAGATTACATAAGGAAAGCATTTTAAGAAGCTGTCAAAAAGGTTTGCTGAATGGTTAATGCATATTTATATTTATTTTTGATGAGTGTGAAATAAGCCAAATAATAAATTTTAATATGTAAATGTGGCAGTGGGATTTAATAAACTATACACTGATATTTTGAATTTTCAAGTTTTTGTTTCATTTGATGTGTAGAAATAATTTAAATACGTAAGTGTAATTTTAATGCGTGACATTATTAATAATACTGCACTTGTCTCATTCTTCTTTTTATTTTCATTTTTCATTCTTCTTTTTATTTTAAATACAAAACTCGAGATATTCTGTTGAGGTGCCAAAAAAATTATGTAACATATGTAAGAATCCAAATATTTTGATAAAAGCAGATTTTGTAGATTTTTTCCCTCCTTGCAAGTTAGACGTGATTGCGAAATGCAGTTTTGCAGTAGCCTTGCATTCTTCACTTCAAAATCATAGGCTGATGAGATAATTTTATTCTCTCTGTACTGGGAATGAAGAAGTTAATTTTTTTTTTTTTTTTTTTTTTTTACATTTCTTTTAGAATTTTTACTACTTTGCCATAGTAGAAGATCTCATCCTAAGGTTTGGTTGGACTCTTTCTGTTTCTCTTACTGAGATGGGTCTTATTCATGCTGATATTATGTCTTCTGTTCTGGCACCTCTTGAAGTTATCAGGTGTGTTTATGTTTAACATTATTAGTATTCTTATAAAAGATAAATGGCAATTTCTTAAGAAATGCAATTTATAGTTTTTAAATAAGTATACTAACTTTTACATATATCTGTTCTGCAATTTCTTAGTTTGTACTCCTTGTGTTATATTAAATGATTGAGATATAATTTCTTTTTGCTAGGCGATTTGTTTGGAATTTTTTCCGTCTAGAAAATGAGCACCTAAACAACTGTGGTAAGTTTCGAGCTGTGAGAGATATTTCTGTTGCACCTTTGGATTCTAGTGATCAGAACCTTTTAATATGCATGATGGATGAACCTGATGGAGTTATCAATAGAAGAAAGAAAGAAAGAAAGTACCCAAAGTATGGAGATTATGTTAAAATATTTGATTTCGATAACTTTCTATTTTAGATAATAATATGCAATGTTCCTCCATATCTGAAATAAAATTTTCCATGCCTTTGTGCAATTGTATTAAACTGTAAGTAAGCCATATATTGTATATATAAAGACACTTATGTAGTTATCATAATTATGATTACATTTAAATGATAAACTGCATATAGTAAAACATTGACTTTAAATAAAGTGTTGCATATTTACTAAATTTTGTAGTTGTACATTTGTAGTGTTTCAGTATAAGTAAGTGTTTGGTTATGTATTTAATATTTGCTTTTTTGTGAATGGTAACAGTATCTATATTTTATGTTTAATCTTCTGTTATGAAAATAAAATAGTTTTCTTAGCCACACTATGCTGCAGGCATTTTTCTATTTAATTATATTTCACATTTTAGGATGTTAGTAAAGTTTGTATGTCTACAAAGCTCATCTTTTAGTCCAAGGAAGGAAGGAATCCTGGTATTTTTTATCTTGATATTTGATTGACTATCAGTAAGGAATTCTGATATTTTGGCTAATTCTGGCTGTATCCACCAGTTTCAAAAGATGGCAAGACAAATTTCACTGTTTTCTGTTGTGTTGATTATTTTGATGTTTTCACAATACAGTCTATAAATAATAGAAGAATTGCTATAAGAAAACAATATTGGGCATATTTTAATTGCCACACTTTATCTTGTAATTGTTGTTCATGCCTAATGCACTTTTTGTGACTTGAAATCTGTTTATTTTTTCATTTTTAAGGAGTAAAGCATTATGATTAACTGCAAATTTTGAATTACCAGATATGGGTGAACAGTTGTATTATAAGCTAGTTGTAAATATGAAGTTTGAATACTGTTGCTGAAATATAAATTTTCTGTTTTTGGTTTTATAGGGTTTATGAAGTAGATCTTCTGTTGTAAACAAATTTAGCATTTTATTTTATGCAATTTACAAGACTCTAATGCAAAATGCATTTACATCTTTAAGTCTGTTTAAAGAGCTTATATCGTATATTCCTGTCCTTGCAATTTGATTTGAATAATTTTTTAAATAAAATATTTGATTTGCCCACATTTTTAATGGACATCTGTGATCATTTGATCTATGTCTTAACAGTGAAATTATGCTAAATCTGATTATCTGATTTAAATCTTACTATAGACATAGCACTTTAATTTTAAATAACTGTAATATTTAAATTTTTGTTTGATCTTCTAAATTAAATATCAAGGTACTATATTTTATGTTTATAATTTTGGATTTATCCAACACTATCCTATGTTTTTATTTAAGTGAGAGGAAAAAAACTCACTTTTATTTGATGTCTATTATATAGAAGTTTGTCATTACCTTCAAATGTTATTTTTGTCTTTTAAAGTAGTCAGTATTATGCAAAAGCAGCATTTAAAATTTATTAACATTAATTACATTAATTTAATTTACTTAACATCACAAAGCCATTCATGCAAGGTATTGTAGTAAGTTACCAGGTAGGAAAGTATAAAAACAAAAATAACATTTCTGAAACTTGCATTTTTGATTTTGGAAACCAAATCAGCTTCATATGATATGGTGATTAATGAAGTCTGATTATCAAACTGAAACTGAAGTTGCAGGTTTGGCTGCATTGAGACTTATTTATTTTATACTGTCTTCCACTCTTCTGTGAGTACTTTATTGGACATATTTAAGCAATGCTTTCAGCAATGGAAGAGATTTAGCCCAAATATGAGAAAATGCCGAATCAGAAGTATCCACTCATTTGATTGAATATTTTAGAAAAAATATGGGTGAATAGGGGATGCTTAATTAAAATGATTTAAAATAGTTTTTAAATGGTAGATTTTGTATTATGGAAACCAAGAAATAGACAAAAGTTTCAATTGTTACTTACTGCACACTTCCTAATTGGGTGTATACCAAAAATATTTTAGTTTGGTTTTGTGGGAATGGAATAATCTTGTATTATTTTTGTACAAAAGGGGTAATATGATGTATTAAAGCAAAGTTGTGTTTCAAGTCTTGTATGAATATAAACTATATTAACATGTTTATTTCTTTTGTTTAATGAATTTTAATATTCTTGCAAGGTGAAAAAAATATAGGTATATTCTCAGCAATGTTTTTGCATTTCTGATGAATTATGTTTTTATATTCATGATGTGTTTTATATTCATATGCTCTTCAAAAAAAAATTTTTTTCTCATTTCAGTAGGAGGAAAAAGTCAGATACTAGAATTCTTGTGGATGATAATGAAACAGATGATCCTGACATATAAAGTTTGCATATGTAAACTTTATTATTTTTTCATTATGGATTGTGGAACTGCTGTATGATTTGATTTATTTTCGTAAGGTAGCAAACATAATTTCTCAGTTTGAGCATTGATGTATAGATTGAAGGAAACCATTTCTTAAGAATCATTATCCCCTTTTTTTTTTTTTTTTTTTTTTTTTTTTTTTTTTTTTTTGCAGAGGAGTGAAGAAACAGATGCAAAAATGCATGCCATTTCAATCCAGTAATTGAAAAGCTTCAACTTTTGTTTTCATAAATCTGAGTAAAAAAAGGGGGGGGATTTGAAATATGTGCTGCTGTTGCAGAAAATTTGTGCCTCTACAGCTGCAGCAAAATTCTTTAATAAATTAGTGCCGGTAAAAGGGGGAAAAAAGTTGAAGTTTAATCAATTGTTAAATTAGGAAATATGTTCTTATCTATAGTGTAATTTTGCATTATTGGAATAGTTTCTCAATTGTGGATAGTTTATTTCACTTTTTAATTCATTTCCTGTAGAATTTATTCAAGTTTTTAAAAATATTTTTGTATGGGACATATATTTTGGAAATGAGCATATACTAAACCTTCATTATATACTGCTCATCAAATTGAAATTTAACATTTTAAGCCATATATCTAAATATGTATATTGTATGGAATCTACTCATATTTAAGTGAACCAGTTTCTCATTTAAATAATGTAAAAAATGTGATTTTTATTTTAAGAAAATTCTAGAATTTCTTAAATTTATTCTTAAGTTAAGAAATTAAGCAATTTTTTGTTAATTAAATAATGAAGTATTTGACATTTTAAAATGTGTATGGGTAACTTTTTGCACCCCACTTTTAATTGGTTAATATGATTTTCTAATTTGAAGAAATATGTTTCAGTTATATTCAAGTTAGGACAGGAATTGAAAGAGAATGTTAGAGAATTGTTGTTTGATAAATATTAGAGAATTGAATTTCATGTTTGTTTCTTTGAGTTATGAAATAATTTGAAAAATCAGTAGATATATTATTTTTGAGAATTTTTTCTTAAAGATAAGGATTTTAAAAAAATATGATTCTGGAGCAAAAATTTCTTTTAAAAATCTCTTCATTTTTATTAAGAATGATCAATAGTTCATTTTAATGTATAGCAGCACAGTTTATAAATCATTATGAAAAAAATATGTGTCTTTAAGTATATATGCTGTAATATATATAAATATAGAATGCAGCAGAACAGTCAAAGGATCAAAGTGTAATTTAGGATATAATTAAAAAATTTTTCATATACATAAATTTTTCTATATATAATCTTACAGAGCTTTATATGATGGGGTTTATGGTGTGAAGTATTGTATTTTTATCTGTGAGAATGTGGTAAAATATATATGCATTTCCTAGTTTATAATTAATAACTCGCATTTAAACTGTATAATAGTGACAGATGAGGAATTATTAGAAAGTAAAAGATAAAAAAGGTTTTGGAAAATAATGATGTATACCAATTAAATTTAAAGGAAATATGTCATAATTTCTTTAAAGATATTACTGTCTTTTATTTAGTAGTATCATTTATCAGAATTTTAGAAAATTATTTTATTTCCTGCATTAAAAGTTTTCTGCATTGGTTGATAATAGTAAAGTTTAGATACAGCACACAATGTGTTATATAACTTTAATCTTCTAATAATCTCTGTTATAGGACAACAAGGTGTTAAATTTTTTTTTTTAACCATAAGAAATATATCTTTTAACTTAGTTATTTCAAGAGAAAAGTAATTAAAATAGAATGAGGTATATTAAAAACTTTTTATTGACATTACTTTGAAATCAAAAACATTGTTTTAAGAAAGTAGAACAATATATTTAATTTTAAAATGGCTGATAAGCAACATTATCAATTAAAATCTGTTCAGGTTAGTTTTTGTGTGTACTCTTAACAATTCCTTTTGAGTTCACATGAAGAAAAATCTAATAAAGTATGCTAGTACCTTGGCATATATATCTTTCTGTATACAGAAAATTCATATCTTGTCCTCTAATGAATAAGACATAACTTTTTGCTTTCTTTTTTAAGATGGCAAAAATATATGTCATGAATGCACACTATTGCCCAGTTGATCTTTATAAATAACATCTCTCTTTTTTTTTTTTTAATTGTTATATATTGGCGAGGAAATTATAGTGACTGCACACATGTGGAAAGTAAAATCATCCCTAAGAAAGTTTTAAATGAATGATGCTATGTGGTTTCTGTTTGAGGCAAGTACATGAGAGGATTTTTAGAATTTGACTTTTGAAAATTAAGATAATATTTTTGCTTAAATATTTTATATAAATATTACTACATGAATATGAATTTTATAATAATTGATAGTGGATTTACACTGATTGTATCTATTAATTTTAACTTTAATTTTGGGAAAAAATTCATTTGAGAAAGCTTTAAATGTTAACTTTGAAAAATTAAAGCTTTAAATTTGGTATTATTTGTGATGTTAAAAGCAATTGCAGATGAAATAGCGATTTGACATTAAAGTATTATTCCTTGAAATTTAATTAACTTTTAAATTTGGCTTGTTAGAAAAAATTTCACTGAAACAATTTGGTTTATTGAAATTTTGTGCATTTGAGACTGATAAGCATTTATTATTATGATATTTTATTAGTTAAAACTCTACAACTGAGAGTGATTAGCATTTATCAAAAAGTAAGTTATATATATGTGTGTAAGATATAAAATATGAAAGAAAATTATGAACTTTAATTTGGCAAATAGTCCCTTTTAATTCCTCATTTTAATTTGTTTACATCCCTTTCCTGTCTGCATCTTCTGAAAATTAATCCACATTACTCCATTATGTAACAGTAGCATTGTGGATACTTCTTGTCCAATTACCAGTCAGAATTTAAATAAAGAAAACAAGTCTATAAATACCTCTCGCCGAAATATGCACTTGCACGCCTCTTGCTCTGCAAACATGTATTGCTCATTTCCCTACTTTGGCCTTTGTCTAAAAAGATATAAACTGTGCAAATCATGAGTTGTTTATCATGTCCATAAATGATGATTTGTAAGAATATGTGGCGCCAGAATTAGTTATCAAGGACTAAAGCTATGCTGAGTGAATGACCATATCAGAAAGATTTTTTTCTTTATGTTATCTACAGAATCTATATTGCACACATATATATATATTCATATATATATATGAAAATCATGGAAGAACATTAATTTTTAAATGATGCAGTTTAATTAGATTTATTATAAGCAGTTTTTGTTTTTAGGACAAAAGAGATAATCAGATTAAAATAGAGAGTTAAGGGACTATGCAAATAAAAGCTAGAATTTTGATTTATGTATCTTTTATCTGACAGGTGTATAATGTATATAACAGGAAACTGATAATCCTGTATAAACGGACATAGTAATATACAGATATGTGCATTATAGCGTTTCAAGGGAGTCTAGGTGAAATATTTAAGAAAATAATTGTATAATTAGTGGATACAGTTTTGAAGTATATTTCAGATGTTAAAATCCCATTGTGTTTTTAAAAAAGTATGTAGTTAATGGTAAGCAACAAATTTAGGAATTAATTTAAATAATTTATTCTAACTAAAGCTGTTTGTGTGAATGTCTCATGAATCAGAACTGGAATGTATTAAGTATGCTAGTTTTAAATATTATATAAAATATCCTGAATTATGTGTACAAGTTTATTCAAAAATTAAATTTAGGTTATTGTGTATTAGACAAAAAAGTCTTGATAACTATGTATTTTCTTCATAATTTTTACTTTTAGTATTATATTTGATTAATTTTAAAAACTGAATTCTGAATATGAATTGATATTAGGATTCTGGTGATGACCTATTTTAATTTTGATTTTTTTTATTAATGAATATATTTTATATCATCCTTAATTATGTTGAAATATTTTATTTCTTAGCAATTTGTTTCTGTTCTATTCTTCGTGCTCATCTCTTTGTATGCATAACTGTATCAGAATTGTAGATTGTTTTGCTGCAATATCAGAAAGTTGTGTGAATGATTTTTTAAATATTTCATGCATTTGTTTAATACAAAACAATCAGTGAGCTGTTTTGTAGAAGTAGAATCAATTTTTTAGAACAAAGTGAAAATAGCTCAGAACATTCAAAGTAGCTGTTTTAATCAATAATATTAGTGAATGTTCAAATTATTATTGATTGTATTTATTTATTTCTGTGAAGACTTTTAAATATCGAGCTTACTGAAAATACTGTATTATTGTATTTTTATTATGCATTTGATTTAAAACTTGTATTTTTCATTTGGTACATGTATTATTTTACCATTTGTAGTATTCCAAAAAATGATATATGATGATTTCTTTTGATTATAATTTTATTTGATGTTCTTCAAAGAAAAAATATTTCATCTCAATCTGAATAAATTTAGTGTTAGTTTAGAATATGATTTTAATATTTAAATGAATTTCTTCAGCATTACCCCAGACAGGAAATATTGTATTTATGGAAGGGGGGCCATCTTTTCTTTATAAAATATTTTTCTAATGTATGCAAGTTAATGAAGGATGAAAAAATGTCTCAAAATATAATTAATGCTAATTATGGTCTTAAATTTTTATTCTCTGTGTGAAAGTTTTATTATATACATGTTATTTCTTTCCTGTAAAGTTACTTGTAACTTTTGGTGTGAAAAATATTCATTTGACTTTTGTTTCATTTCTGTTAAATGAGTTAATTATTGTAACAAAACAGGTATAGAAAGTGTTTAAATTTCTGATTAAAAGTATAGGCAGAAAGTAATATTTTGTCTTCCTACTCAGAAATAGAAATAATTTGTGTATATCAGAAGCACTGAACATTTTCTGAAGGGATTATTTTAGAATTTGCAGGTTATATGGCTGAAATAGCATTTATTCATTTATACATAATTTCAGTTTCATAGTTTTGTAATTGATTAAAGGACATAAAAATATTTAATCATAGTTAATATATAAGCATTTTTGTGAACTGCTTTGTTGTAGCAAAATATTTGTGTTGGAATGTAGTTTTTTGCTGTTGCTTTATTCATCATTATACATTGCATAAAAGTACCCTTTTCAGTACTTATGTATTATCCCTTCAGATGTGGAAGTCTGCTACTGTAGAATCATGAA